GGAGGTGACATTGCAATGTTAGAACTGAATGACACTCTGAAGATAAGTAGCCAAGTTATGCCAGCATGCATAGATTGGTCAAACAAACTGAAATTACTAGACAAACCATATGTTTCTGGTTTGGTAAGTTTATTTTTATTAATGTTTGATCATATACAGTAAATTCTCTCTTTATCTAATTGCTCTTAGCGCAGTGAGTTGGATATGTGAATTACCAATAAAATCCAATTTATTGATGGCAATTAACAAAAAAAAAAAAAAATGTTACGCATAAATGCAACAAAATCATATTACAAAATATCAATGAGTGATTTATTTAAAAAAAAAAGAAGGAATGATGAACACATTACATTAGCATCAGGGCAAACAATAAAACAGTTATGAGATTAATCAATGTTGTTCAACATCTACCTAACCAACTTTTAGAATCTTATTCACAAATTCTTATAAGTTTTATTAATAACAAAAACACATTTTTTTTTTATCCAATCTTCTCATTTTCATAAAGAATTTCTTTAAAAATTTGTTCAACCTCTTTTCTTGATGCCAAAGTATATTTTTCTCTCTTTCTGTTTGGCCCTGTTCAACTTCATTTGTTCTTCTTCAGAATTATCATGGACACTAATTTCCTTTCTGAATGTAAAAATAATTCCTGTCAGGAAAACCTTTATTTTTCTCTTTTCGCCATTCCTTATTTTCTCTACTCAATTCAGTTACGGGTCCGATACTCGGTTATAACTGTTCCTTTTTGAATCCTCACAGAACCTACGTTCCCCGTCTGTGAGTCTTCATTTCATCCTTTTAAGACCTGATCCAAATATCATATATCCAAACTTTTCTCATTCAACCTAGAACCATTACGTTCTACCACCTAGAAGAGAAAAGGGAAAGGATTATGTCATCGATGCAGAGAGCTCTTTCCAATCACAAGTTTATAACATCTTTAACTTCCTCCTCTGTGGCATTCTCTTCCTCCCAGTTTTCTGTGTAAAATATCAACCTATAGTTTTTAGCATATCTTTTAAGTGGTATTTCATTGATACCTGTGAGTTCCATATCAAACACATATCCTGTATTACTTTAGACCATATGCGATAACTGTATTTCTCAACAAAAATACTCAATTAGAATTAAATACAGTCATGATCCAAGCTGGTGAAGTGTGCAGTTGGATAATTAAAAAATCATAAATTATCAGCTGATCTTCCTTAAATTACTTGAAATTTGTAATTTAATTCTAAGCATTCTACAAATAGTTTAAATTAAATTAATTATTAATTTTATTTTATTATTAATTTAACCAATTTTTAATTATGATATTTTAAATTATTTAAATTAATAAATAAATTAAATAAAACGTATTAATGCTTTTTTGAATTTCATGCTTTTGCAGATTGCAGGATGGGGCAGAACTGAACTAGGCGATTATAGCGATGAGCTGAGAAGTACCGAAGTGTTAATGATCAATCGTACAACTTGTAACAAGCGACTGAAATTCCCTAACATACCTGCTGACAAGTGGTGTATTATTTCTGAAGACGGTGAACTGTTTATTGAAGATATTTATTCTTGATAAATGATAATTTTTTAATCAATATTTTATGTGTAAAATCATTTTTAGGTTCCTGGCTTTCCTATGGTGATGTTGGAGGAATTTTGTTCCCGAAGTATGAAGAAGGAACAGGAGAAAAAACTTATTACCTGTATGGTCTTATATCTGTTAGCATTGGCAATGATACTGTTGCAGTTACCAATGTTTTGTCTTATGAATATTGGATCCAACATATATTTTGAATAAACATAAGTGAACATTAATAATAAAAAAAAATTATTAAATAAATTATATTAGATTTAAGGATTGTATTCTTAAATTATAATCATGTTTTATCCACTGCCTATCACATTAACACCATAAACAAATTTTTCCCTGCCTACTGCAAAGCAACATGGTCATTAAATGTCAGAAATGGAAATGGCTGGGGCACACACTTAGAAAGGAGCATAACGAAATAACACAGCAGTCTATCCCAAGGTCAGCAAAGATGCGGAGGGCAGAGAGATGAAAATGTGCAGCGCTGGAGAGACCTGCTCAGGAGTCAAGTAGCTAGCTAAAGATCAGGATGCCTGGCAGAACTTCGTCATGGCTTCATGTACCACTTAGGGGATTTTAGGAACTTATAATAATAATGGCTGGACAAATGTCAAGGCCAATACTGAGGAGACTGGGCCAACTTCACCATCGCTACTACCCTCTATTTTCTCCCATACTATTTATTCACCTTGAATTCGATTTCATTAGCAGCATGGGCATCAGATTGATTTTCTACAGTACATTTATTTTTCTACAAATAAATATTATCTTAATAATGTCTTTTTATTTCCTGTAACCCTTTTCGTTCTTTTCAGATATATAGACATTTTTCCCAGGTGAGTGATCAGGGCTTAATGCCAGCGTTAAAACACCTGACACCGGGACTAAAACTCGTATCTTCAGTTTATCAGCTTACCTAGCAACACATGCTTTGCTTATGTGTTAGCCCACTTGGCAATCCGGCCTGATTTAGAGTAAAATTCTAAAGTTATTGAAGAATATTAAGCATTGAGAATGGTCCAGAGCAGGCAAAAGGAGCTCATTTGAAGCGGGAATCCTTCCTGCACTCGCATATTCTAGCATCTCCCAATATTTATTTAGTTTCAGAGGTTAAAAACATCGCTGAAGATTAGAAACCTGATAAGTGTCGCCCAGGAAGGAAATGTCTTGCGTTTTTGGCAAGAAACATAATTTCCTGCATTATGTATATATCCTACATATATTATTATATACATATAGTATTTCTTTCATTCTGAAAGCTGCCAGATTTAATTCTTTATGTTTTTTAAAAGTGAGTAAACGGTGCTGAAAACTGGGACATATGGACATTTTTCCATTTCACTATGAAAAAAAAAGAAAGACACTGTTTCATAAATATATTTTGAAATTAGAGGCTTTTACTGTCTTAAAAGAAATGAAATGATTGAACCAAGTACCCCGGCAATTGAAAATGGGACAAATACATTTTAAACTTTCCTTAATGGTACCGAAAACTAGTGGTTTTACCCTACTACAACTCTAATATAAATTTAATAATTAAAAATAACTTTAATATCAAATATCACAGTGTTATATTTAATATGTCCAACAATGGTTATCATACCTACTTCCACTGACAGGTTAACACATATTTGGGTTGACCTACTTTCTTATGCGATTTTCTTTATTCTTAGGTTTCTTTTCAGGAGCATAAATTATTTTCTTTGCAAAATAATAGTTTGCAGCCAGCTTATTGCAAGCTAAGTAAGAAGTGACAATTGAGATTGTCTCAAACAGGTGAAGAAGTAAACTTGTTTTAATAAAGTAATAATACTAAAATAAATTATCGATTATTCAAAATTTATAATTAAGTATTTTATTAAAAATGGCATTAGAAACCTAGAAAGGAACTAATATCAATTGCGTAATAAACATCAACTGATTCAGAATTTTGTAACATTCTTAAGCCTTAATTAGTTCAATTTTCACCTAAATAGACCAATTTTGTTTTCCTTCCATAGTACAACAAAATGAGGATATGAAAAAAAAACACATCCTATTGATATAAATATATATTTTAATTAGGTTCAATAAAAAAAAAAACACAAAAATAAAAAATACATATTTAATATGTTATAATCATTAAAATAACAATAATCATCAGTTCTGTGGTTAAACGTTGAAATATCAAATCAAGATTTTTTTAAAGTTTTGAAATGTTTTTCTAATCTCAAAAACTTTAAACTTTAATAACCCAAGGCCAAATTTCATATTAAATATGCTTTTTACTGTTATATAAAATAAAATTTATTTTACTACTAAAACAAAAAATATACATCTAATATTTTTTAATAATTAAGATAGCAATAACCACACTCTTCAAATTCTTATCAATAAATTAAAAGCTTTAATGCCATAATTGCATTTTGGTTTATTGTCCACTTTCATTTTTCAGGACTTATATGACATTCATAGTTAGATGCTATCAATTATGATAGCAAATGTATAAAATACTTTGAAAACTTACATATATTAAAGTGTTAATTAAAAGTAACTGATTCATAAGAATTTGGTTGTTTGTCACTCGACCTCAATATCTGATAGATCAGAGGAGTTAACTGAGCCTTCAGCTCTTTCTGTACTGAAAACCTGTTTCATAATAGAAGGAGTGGTATTCGTTTTGGATTTTGCTGCTCTAAGAATTTCATTTATTGCTTCATCCTCTTCCATTATATGCTTATGTTTGGGACTCTTATTATTTTGTCTTGCTTTAGGTTTTTTGTTCACCTTACACATTCTCTTTACAACGTGATTGTTCCTAAAAAATAAATAAAATACATTAAATAGATTTTTTTTGTCAGTATCCTAGAAAGTACCATTGGCAGTCAACGTGTTAAAAGCTCCAGTAATTATATAATCATAAAATATAACTAATGATCAATTTGAAATAAAATTTCACTTACTTCACCCCAATATCATCAAAAGAAGTGTTTACAGATGAATTATTATCATTTTTAGTCCCATAAACATTGTCGAACATCGAAGTGGGAGGAGTGTAACGTCCTTTAATTACGTTCTTCTTGATAGAACCTAGGAGTCCATTAGGCGTTAATGACTGAAACATAAAAATATATATTCACACGTCATAATTTCATACAAATACAAACTTATGATTTAACATAGTATAAATACTAGAGTTTATAAAAGTTCTTATAAATCATCAGTATAGTCAGTCATATAGGTTGTGAAAATTACAGTATCAACAAGAATCTGATACAAAGAAAATATTAACTGAAGAAATATAAAATAACCATAGATTTAGTACATTTAAGAATGACTGCAATATTTATAAAAATTGGTTGGCCTCATTTTTTAAAAGCATAGTAACATTAAAAATTGCATATAGGATAAATCCAGAGACCTTTCATTTATGGATGTACTATCAAACTCTTCAAAGGATCAACCAATACTCATACTCAATGCTCTGGTCAAACTCAGTACTCACTTTCAGGTGATTCGTAAGGGATAAATCACCTCCACTCATAGTTGGGTGTATAGCACAACTTGGTCATAATTATAAACTTGGGAGACAATATCAATAATTACTTTAAAAGAGATGGGTAATTAGTCGACTGATGAATTATTAGGTTGAATAAAATTGTCAGGATTTACAGTGAAGAATTTTTATTAGGTTAGCTGACGTTTTTACCCAAACTTGTGGGTCATCCTCAGTGCTAAAAATTACAAAAATGGTCGGTCCGGGGTTCATAAAAGGACTAAAATAGTAACATACTATCTCATTTAAAGCCAACGTTTCGATCCGACTTTGTAGGTCTTCCTCAGGACTAGAGCGAACAAGATACAAATACCAAGGCTATAGAACAATGTGGTAGTTACATATTGTTTATATAATAAATATAAACAATGTGAATAAACTTATTAAAATTATACTGTGTGAATAGCATCCATTATTACGTATATTATCCATCCTCCTTATTATATTCAATTTTTTCCTATTTCCAATAATCTACAATAATTTATTTACTTCAGTTTAGGGTCTCGTTTACTATGTTTATATAGTTTATTGTTCTTAACATTTCTTTGTACTTGCTATTCACACTGAGTATAATTTTTAATAAGTTTATTCACATTGTTCTGTAGCCTTTTGTATCATTTTCGTTTTAGCCCTGAAGAAGACCTGCAAAGTCGTGTCAAAACATTGGCTTTAAATAAAATAATTTGTAACTATTTTAGTATTTTTATGACTGGATCATCTACTTACTCAGTAAATTGTAATATATACCTTAATTGGAAGTTGTTAAAAATGGAGCCAGATGGCTAAAGAAGTAGAGGGCGCCCTCGGATCAGATGGCTGGAGGATGTTGAGGACGATCTGAGGTGGCTGGGCGTTCGAACATGGAGGGAAGTAGCACAAAACCGTGGAGATTGGTTGGCTGTAGTAGAGGAGGCCCGGGTTCTTGCAGGACCGTAGCGCCATAATAATAATCAAATTATTATTTTAGTATTTTTTTTTTTTTATATATCAGAAAATTCAAATTCGATATTCTCAAATTCATTAAAATGTAACTTAATTACTTTTTACAATAAACTGACAATATGATCTTTACTTTATATTTTTTCTGCATACATTGCAAAAGGCTTAGGTTAGGTTTTAGTGGTAAATTTAATATTTGACGAGGGTCCAGGAAAATTTTTACTGGGGCCGGTAGTTATCTCCAGAACCTTGATCTGCACTCAACATAATAAATATTACTGATTTTTTTTTATAATACTTAATAACATAATTTAAAAAAAAGAATCTTTTTTGTAACTGTATTTAAATATATTGTAAAAGTCTATGTAAACCAACTTGGCTTGAAGTTGTTTCTGTATTTAATTACTAATTTAATCATGAAATACTGTACATTAAAATATTTCTCTCTTTTTGTTTTATTATATATACAGGTTATTCGTATAAAAGTGCATAATACTTATGAAAATGGATATGGAGGTGACATTGCAATGTTAGAACTGAATGACACTCTGAAGATAAGTAGCCAAGTTATGCCAGCATGCATAGATTGGTCAAACAAACTGAAATTACTAGACAAACCATATGTTTCTGGTTTGGTAAGTTTATTTTTATTAATGTTTGATCATATACAGTAAATTCTCTCTTTATCTAATTGCTCTTAGCGCAGTGAGTTGGATATGTGAATTACCAATAAAATCCAATTTATTGATGGCAATTAACAAAAAAAAAAAAAAATGTTACGCATAAATGCAACAAAATCATATTACAAAATATCAATGAGTGATTTATTTAAAAAAAAAAGAAGGAATGATGAACACATTACATTAGCATCAGGGCAAACAATAAAACAGTTATGAGATTAATCAATGTTGTTCAACATCTACCTAACCAACTTTTAGAATCTTATTCACAAATTCTTATAAGTTTTATTAATAACAAAAACACATTTTTTTTTTATCCAATCTTCTCATTTTCATAAAGAATTTCTTTAAAAATTTGTTCAACCTCTTTTCTTGATGCCAAAGTATATTTTTCTCTCTTTCTGTTTGGCCCTGTTCAACTTCATTTGTTCTTCTTCAGAATTATCATGGACACTAATTTCCTTTCTGAATGTAAAAATAATTCCTGTCAGGAAAACCTTTATTTTTCTCTTTTCGCCATTCCTTATTTTCTCTACTCAATTCAGTTACGGGTCCGATACTCGGTTATAACTGTTCCTTTTTGAATCCTCACAGAACCTACGTTCCCCGTCTGTGAGTCTTCATTTCATCCTTTTAAGACCTGATCCAAATATCATATATCCAAACTTTTCTCATTCAACCTAGAACCATTACGTTCTACCACCTAGAAGAGAAAAGGGAAAGGATTATGTCATCGATGCAGAGAGCTCTTTCCAATCACAAGTTTATAACATCTTTAACTTCCTCCTCTGTGGCATTCTCTTCCTCCCAGTTTTCTGTGTAAAATATCAACCTATAGTTTTTAGCATATCTTTTAAGTGGTATTTCATTGATACCTGTGAGTTCCATATCAAACACATATCCTGTATTACTTTAGACCATATGCGATAACTGTATTTCTCAACAAAAATACTCAATTAGAATTAAATACAGTCATGATCCAAGCTGGTGAAGTGTGCAGTTGGATAATTAAAAAATCATAAATTATCAGCTGATCTTCCTTAAATTACTTGAAATTTGTAATTTAATTCTAAGCATTCTACAAATAGTTTAAATTAAATTAATTATTAATTTTATTTTATTATTAATTTAACCAATTTTTAATTATGATATTTTAAATTATTTAAATTAATAAATAAATTAAATAAAACGTATTAATGCTTTTTTGAATTTCATGCTTTTGCAGATTGCAGGATGGGGCAGAACTGAACTAGGCGATTATAGCGATGAGCTGAGAAGTACCGAAGTGTTAATGATCAATCGTACAACTTGTAACAAGCGACTGAAATTCCCTAACATACCTGCTGACAAGTGGTGTATTATTTCTGAAGACGGTGAACTGTTTATTGAAGATATTTATTCTTGATAAATGATAATTTTTTAATCAATATTTTATGTGTAAAATCATTTTTAGGTTCCTGGCTTTCCTATGGTGATGTTGGAGGAATTTTGTTCCCGAAGTATGAAGAAGGAACAGGAGAAAAAACTTATTACCTGTATGGTCTTATATCTGTTAGCATTGGCAATGATACTGTTGCAGTTACCAATGTTTTGTCTTATGAATATTGGATCCAACATATATTTTGAATAAACATAAGTGAACATTAATAATAAAAAAAAATTATTAAATAAATTATATTAGATTTAAGGATTGTATTCTTAAATTATAATCATGTTTTATCCACTGCCTATCACATTAACACCATAAACAAATTTTTCCCTGCCTACTGCAAAGCAACATGGTCATTAAATGTCAGAAATGGAAATGGCTGGGGCACACACTTAGAAAGGAGCATAACGAAATAACACAGCAGTCTATCCCAAGGTCAGCAAAGATGCGGAGGGCAGAGAGATGAAAATGTGCAGCGCTGGAGAGACCTGCTCAGGAGTCAAGTAGCTAGCTAAAGATCAGGATGCCTGGCAGAACTTCGTCATGGCTTCATGTACCACTTAGGGGATTTTAGGAACTTATAATAATAATGGCTGGACAAATGTCAAGGCCAATACTGAGGAGACTGGGCCAACTTCACCATCGCTACTACCCTCTATTTTCTCCCATACTATTTATTCACCTTGAATTCGATTTCATTAGCAGCATGGGCATCAGATTGATTTTCTACAGTACATTTATTTTTCTACAAATAAATATTATCTTAATAATGTCTTTTTATTTCCTGTAACCCTTTTCGTTCTTTTCAGATATATAGACATTTTTCCCAGGTGAGTGATCAGGGCTTAATGCCAGCGTTAAAACACCTGACACCGGGACTAAAACTCGTATCTTCAGTTTATCAGCTTACCTAGCAACACATGCTTTGCTTATGTGTTAGCCCACTTGGCAATCCGGCCTGATTTAGAGTAAAATTCTAAAGTTATTGAAGAATATTAAGCATTGAGAATGGTCCAGAGCAGGCAAAAGGAGCTCATTTGAAGCGGGAATCCTTCCTGCACTCGCATATTCTAGCATCTCCCAATATTTATTTAGTTTCAGAGGTTAAAAACATCGCTGAAGATTAGAAACCTGATAAGTGTCGCCCAGGAAGGAAATGTCTTGCGTTTTTGGCAAGAAACATAATTTCCTGCATTATGTATATATCCTACATATATTATTATATACATATAGTATTTCTTTCATTCTGAAAGCTGCCAGATTTAATTCTTTATGTTTTTTAAAAGTGAGTAAACGGTGCTGAAAACTGGGACATATGGACATTTTTCCATTTCACTATGAAAAAAAAAGAAAGACACTGTTTCATAAATATATTTTGAAATTAGAGGCTTTTACTGTCTTAAAAGAAATGAAATGATTGAACCAAGTACCCCGGCAATTGAAAATGGGACAAATACATTTTAAACTTTCCTTAATGGTACCGAAAACTAGTGGTTTTACCCTACTACAACTCTAATATAAATTTAATAATTAAAAATAACTTTAATATCAAATATCACAGTGTTATATTTAATATGTCCAACAATGGTTATCATACCTACTTCCACTGACAGGTTAACACATATTTGGGTTGACCTACTTTCTTATGCGATTTTCTTTATTCTTAGGTTTCTTTTCAGGAGCATAAATTATTTTCTTTGCAAAATAATAGTTTGCAGCCAGCTTATTGCAAGCTAAGTAAGAAGTGACAATTGAGATTGTCTCAAACAGGTGAAGAAGTAAACTTGTTTTAATAAAGTAATAATACTAAAATAAATTATCGATTATTCAAAATTTATAATTAAGTATTTTATTAAAAATGGCATTAGAAACCTAGAAAGGAACTAATATCAATTGCGTAATAAACATCAACTGATTCAGAATTTTGTAACATTCTTAAGCCTTAATTAGTTCAATTTTCACCTAAATAGACCAATTTTGTTTTCCTTCCATAGTACAACAAAATGAGGATATGAAAAAAAAACACATCCTATTGATATAAATATATATTTTAATTAGGTTCAATAAAAAAAAAAACACAAAAATAAAAAATACATATTTAATATGTTATAATCATTAAAATAACAATAATCATCAGTTCTGTGGTTAAACGTTGAAATATCAAATCAAGATTTTTTTAAAGTTTTGAAATGTTTTTCTAATCTCAAAAACTTTAAACTTTAATAACCCAAGGCCAAATTTCATATTAAATATGCTTTTTACTGTTATATAAAATAAAATTTATTTTACTACTAAAACAAAAAATATACATCTAATATTTTTTAATAATTAAGATAGCAATAACCACACTCTTCAAATTCTTATCAATAAATTAAAAGCTTTAATGCCATAATTGCATTTTGGTTTATTGTCCACTTTCATTTTTCAGGACTTATATGACATTCATAGTTAGATGCTATCAATTATGATAGCAAATGTATAAAATACTTTGAAAACTTACATATATTAAAGTGTTAATTAAAAGTAACTGATTCATAAGAATTTGGTTGTTTGTCACTCGACCTCAATATCTGATAGATCAGAGGAGTTAACTGAGCCTTCAGCTCTTTCTGTACTGAAAACCTGTTTCATAATAGAAGGAGTGGTATTCGTTTTGGATTTTGCTGCTCTAAGAATTTCATTTATTGCTTCATCCTCTTCCATTATATGCTTATGTTTGGGACTCTTATTATTTTGTCTTGCTTTAGGTTTTTTGTTCACCTTACACATTCTCTTTACAACGTGATTGTTCCTAAAAAATAAATAAAATACATTAAATAGATTTTTTTTGTCAGTATCCTAGAAAGTACCATTGGCAGTCAACGTGTTAAAAGCTCCAGTAATTATATAATCATAAAATATAACTAATGATCAATTTGAAATAAAATTTCACTTACTTCACCCCAATATCATCAAAAGAAGTGTTTACAGATGAATTATTATCATTTTTAGTCCCATAAACATTGTCGAACATCGAAGTGGGAGGAGTGTAACGTCCTTTAATTACGTTCTTCTTGATAGAACCTAGGAGTCCATTAGGCGTTAATGACTGAAACATAAAAATATATATTCACACGTCATAATTTCATACAAATACAAACTTATGATTTAACATAGTATAAATACTAGAGTTTATAAAAGTTCTTATAAATCATCAGTATAGTCAGTCATATAGGTTGTGAAAATTACAGTATCAACAAGAATCTGATACAAAGAAAATATTAACTGAAGAAATATAAAATAACCATAGATTTAGTACATTTAAGAATGACTGCAATATTTATAAAAATTGGTTGGCCTCATTTTTTAAAAGCATAGTAACATTAAAAATTGCATATAGGATAAATCCAGAGACCTTTCATTTATGGATGTACTATCAAACTCTTCAAAGGATCAACCAATACTCATACTCAATGCTCTGGTCAAACTCAGTACTCACTTTCAGGTGATTCGTAAGGGATAAATCACCTCCACTCATAGTTGGGTGTATAGCACAACTTGGTCATAATTATAAACTTGGGAGACAATATCAATAATTACTTTAAAAGAGATGGGTAATTAGTCGACTGATGAATTATTAGGTTGAATAAAATTGTCAGGATTTACAGTGAAGAATTTTTATTAGGTTAGCTGACGTTTTTACCCAAACTTGTGGGTCATCCTCAGTGCTAAAAATTACAAAAATGGTCGGTCCGGGGTTCATAAAAGGACTAAAATAGTAACATACTATCTCATTTAAAGCCAACGTTTCGATCCGACTTTGTAGGTCTTCCTCAGGACTAGAGCGAACAAGATACAAATACCAAGGCTATAGAACAATGTGGTAGTTACATATTGTTTATATAATAAATATAAACAATGTGAATAAACTTATTAAAATTATACTGTGTGAATAGCATCCATTATTACGTATATTATCCATCCTCCTTATTATATTCAATTTTTTCCTATTTCCAATAATCTACAATAATTTATTTACTTCAGTTTAGGGTCTCGTTTACTATGTTTATATAGTTTATTGTTCTTAACATTTCTTTGTACTTGCTATTCACACTGAGTATAATTTTTAATAAGTTTATTCACATTGTTCTGTAGCCTTTTGTATCATTTTCGTTTTAGCCCTGAAGAAGACCTGCAAAGTCGTGTCAAAACATTGGCTTTAAATAAAATAATTTGTAACTATTTTAGTATTTTTATGACTGGATCATCTACTTACTCAGTAAATTGTAATATATACCTTAATTGGAAGTTGTTAAAAATGGTTTAGTAAATTAATAATGAACAATTAAAAGGCAAGCTAATCTAGTTCTGCTAATGTCAGGGATGTTTAAATTTCAAAAATAGTTTCAATAGTTCAGGGAAAAGAAATTGGCTGCTCTGTAGTTTCGCCAGAAAGGAAAATCCCAAAGAGGAGAGGAGTCACAAAGGATTTTGTTTTGGCAGCAGTGGATAAAACCCAGTAATAGTACAACCATCTTGGAAGTTGTTGTTTGGCAGAGAAACTAAGTTTGGAATCAGAAGAGGGGGGATATTCCAGGGAGTTAGAGTTGAGGATAATGTTACCATTTTGGAAGATGTGTTTTCCAGAACATAAGAAAATGTTAGAAGATAAATGAATTGAGTGCAACAATGAAACAGTATGTATAGAAAAAAGGTTAGCTTGCTAATTCATACTTGACTTCATTTTAAAATCAGCGTTTAATTTTAGTATAAAAGTGTAAAAAATAATAGTTTGTCTGACTGTTTTGATCTGATTGTCAGTAACCCATACCTTGAGATAAAATAATTATAAATTTCAATTTAATATATTAATACTCTTATAATTTTGTTTATTATTATAAGAGTATAAGAGTAGGTTGTTATTTTACGATAAAAACAACCTCTTATTTGTTTTGGAAGTATCCCAACAGTATAAAGTGATCTTCCACGAGGTCATATTAATAGTTATAAAAATATAAGAGAAATGTTACAAAATATTTATCTTTTTACTGATGTTATTTTATATTTTGTAATTTTTTATCCTGAGGATGACCCACATGTTTGGATCAAAACGTCGCCTTACTTAATAAAAATTCTTGACTGTAAATCCTGACAATTTTATTTATCCTAATTATTTTAAATATTCCCTTATTATGTTCCCTTTATTTTGTATATCATGAGATTATGAATTTTTTTTTTTTTCTTCGGCACTATGGCCCATGAGGGACCTTGGCCTCCTCAACTATTTTCCTCATCTCAGGATCCTAAGCAGCTTCTTTCCAATGTTATCACACCTAGCGACCTTAAGTCTGCCGCTTCTGCATCACCCGACCATCGTAGTTTAATCCTGCTTCTTACTCTTTCTCTATTTGGACGTGCTTCCATTATTTGTTTTGGGAGTATTTTTTGATCCATCCAATATACATGGCCCAGCTATCGTATTCTTCTCTTTTTAATGCAGAAAACTATATCAGGTTCCCCATATATGTCCCTAAGTTCTGCATTTGTTTTCATACGATAATGACTTCCTTCTTTGGTGAGACTATATACTCCAGTTTTTATGAATAAGATTTCTACTGAAAAGACTATTAAAACAAGAAATATTGTAACTATATTCTTGATTTGAATCCAAAGAATGCTAATTAAATCGTTCAATCAAGTCCCAGAATAATTATTTAAATACTTGAGTACACATATATACTTATTTTCATAACTTAGTAAATATTTATGTCAGAGGGCTATTAGTAATCCTTGCTTTTTGTTTAACTCTCCTCATAATACATATTTAATCTTTAGACTTTATTCTCTTTTGTCTTATTTCCCGAAAATAATACTCTTGCTGTATTGAAGTCTTCTGAAGGTGTACCAGGAACAGCCCCTCGACTTTTTTCCAATCCCCGTGAACTGGTGAATCTACGGAGAGGACGGGCTTTCCAGTTGAAGCTCCCCAAAATGGAAAAATGATTTTTTTTTCATTGGTCCATATTTGTTACTGTAAGTTTTTAAATTATAATGCATGCATAGTTACTAAATTTAACGATGTATTATGAAAAAAATATTGAAATTTACATTTTTTTTTTAAAGGCTTCAAGAATCGCTTGAACATCATTTCATTTAGGTAGTTTGTTTCTTTGTTTTTCTCCCAAACTAATTATCATTATTTATATACATTGTAAGATAAACTTAATAGAACCCCAAAATTAAATCCTTGATCCGGTACTGATGACATGATAGCATGAGAAAGAAATTCTGCATTTCAATTTATTTTGGAATTCTATTTGATTTACTCAGATAAACCTTAGGGAAACAATTAAACCAATTTTCATCTGTTTTACATACAAAATAATGGAAAAACAACATCAGTGATGGAACTCTGCAGCTTATGCTTTTTTATTTTTATAAGAATGTTATTCATTAATTTTTAGTGGCATAGATAAAATTAAGCAGTTATTAGCTACAGGGATAACTAATACTTCATAACTAAAAAATGTAGTTTCCTGTTCAACCGCATAGCTAATTTAACAAGAATTATCTATGGACAAATAGACAACAGCTGATCATTTAACTATTCATTTGTTACAAACATAAGTAGTTAATTTAGCTATAGTTTTTAGCTGTTATGTAGTTACAGATTTCCCAACTTATTAACAGATTTCACAATGTGTTAATATTTATTTTGAAACATGTTACCTAAAGTATTGTTATGAAATTGTAGAGAAGAAAAGGGTGAAAGAAAGAGCGGCAAAATTAAGCTGGTCCTTTATGAAAAAAATTCTAGTTCCGGCTCTGTGTTCAATTCTTATCCATACATAATAATACACATTACATATTGTGTATCTATTTATTTTTTAAATAGAGGCTTAATTTCACACTAAATAATATTATATTAATTTTTTTTTTTGACTTACGGATGATGATGGAAAAAGCATTAAAGATTCATCTCCCAATAATTCTGAAAAAGGTCCGCGTTCATCTTGACCTCCTAAAAAATGATTAAATAAGTAAACAATATGGAATGAAAATAGAAGTTTAAAACGTATGTACATATATCCCTAATAGGTGGGGGAGGCAAGAGTTTGTTATATACCTAAGCCTGGGAAAGAGTCCTATGACAATCTCATACAGCTGTGTGGTGGCATAGGGCAGCTGCAAGCAACCCTAGAATGCTGCTTGACAAACTTCAAAGGCTTGCGTGCCTTATGAAGACGGGAGCTATGAGCACTAATCCCACTGCTGCAATGGAGGTTCTCTTGAATCTGACACCATTGCATTTAGATGTGGAAGTACATTCCCTCAGAACTGTCTATAGATTGGATAAACTGGGAACGAGATAGAAATTCCTGATGTTTCAGGGTCATGGGATCGTTCTTGATAGGATTGATAGCAATGAGGTGCTTGCGATGAACTATGACGTTAAAATCGATAATTATAGAGATATACTGTATAATTTGATGATAGGCAGGAATAACTCACATAGAACACGCAATGGTGTTAACTGTTATACCGACAGATCCTCGATGGAGCAAGGGTCAGGGGCTGGCGTCTGGAGAAAGGATAAACATAACGAGGGAATATTCATATTTCTAAGTAGATATACATCCGATTTTCAAGCCGAGATTCTCGCTATCAATTTCTGTGCTCAATCACTTATAAGGAAAGGCATTATGAATAGATTGATAATTATATATACAGATAGTCAAGAGGCAATTGGGGCCCTGAATAGTTATACAACTCGCTTTAAGTTGATAGGTGAATGTAAAGGCAATCTTAACATTATTTGTAGTACCAAAAAAGGTGAGGGTAGAATGGGTGCCTGGGCATTTAAAGCAATTACCAAATATGCAGCTCCCGCAAATGTTATTAATGAATACCAAACTGAAGTTGCCTGAATGGAATTGCTTTAGTCGCATGCTACACAAGTATACGACAAAGAGCTTGCGATGTGGAGCAACGAATTCCGCATGATATATTACCTGAATTTTGTCCACATAGTTGGACGACTACAATAGGCAACATTAGGAAACAAGTATCAAACTACACGTTGTTCAGTGTTGCCTCAGTGGAATTCCACCTTTACTATTTTAATAAGCTTTTCAGGGATTCCGAGCTCTCTCATTGTATATATCATTTCTTAATATTTTTATAATATTAATATACTATCTCTTAATATTTTATAACTAATAAAGATTTATAAATATTATAAGTGAAGTGGTAATATTGCAGGTCAAGTTTCTGCTTACCTTATGACTTACATACTTTTACATGTTAATTTTAATATTAATTCTAAAAAACTTGTTAACTAGATTTGATATAGTCTTAAACTAATAATATGACTTGAAAACTGGAAAGAGATATTTACCATTTTCTAAATTTCTGTTGGCTCCATTTTTTTCTGTGTCATGCTAAAACAAGAAAATAAAAAACATATGTGAATGTGATAAAATAAAGTGATATGTAAACCTAACTACAGATAATATACAATACAATTCTTTTAAATTTCAAAGCTTTCCAATTTCTTTATAAAACACAAAATGGAAAATAATACTCACCATGAATTAAATTCAAATTCCTACAAATCAGAAAAAGGTTTAACCAAAATACAAATAATACATAAAGCTAATGTTTGGTTTTTTGAAAATCAATTTGAGAACTGTCAATAAAAAACAGCAGTAACTTTTAATCGTATTGGAAAAAGAAACTTTTTTTTCTCAGACAATTATATGCTGCCTAATCTAGATCGGGTTAGGGTTCATATATAAAGTTTTTTCGAGGTGCAAAATACAAATCTCAACATTGTTTCTCATTAAAAAAATATTTGAACCCAATTTGCTCCTTCGGTCAGTACAAATTGTTTCAATATTGTACTCAATCTAAAGTTTTATGCTAAATATAATTTTCTTTCCAAACCAGATGGGTATCAAAAGTAATATTACATGCACAAAACTTGGAATATTGTCCAGAGTTGGTACATAAGTGAAAATAAGGCATGTAACGTACATATTGTACACAATATACACATCCGGATTCCATTAAATAGAAGGCGAAATATCGAGAATTTTTTTATTTATTTTACAACAAACTTTGTTTATCCCTAAAGAAATATTTATGGAAATATTAAGTCCAGCTTTTCCTTAAAAAAGGGAAAAGCCAAATTCAGAGTTTTCATAGATATGATTGTGAATAGTCCATATAGGTATTTCTGTGTTAAAGATGTTATTTTACTGTAATTATATTTGAGTGTATTTTAGTTTTGGCTTATATATTTTCAATATTATTATTTTGCTTTTATTTTTTTAGTAAAAATAATAATATATAATTTGCTTTGGACAGATTCTGGGACAGCAATAAATTTCCTCTTAAGGATGTGATACTAATTATTACAATCAGAAAGACAGATAAATTAATGAATTTTACTTCTCTTAAAAAAATATCTTATCTCTCTGGATATATATACAGTTAATTACTTACATTATTATGATTCTGAAAGGCTTGCTCATTTTTCTTTGGATTTCGCTTTGACTTATCATTTGTTTTCTTATTTTGCTAAAATCACTACATATATTAATATACATAATATACAAATACAAATAAGCATACATATTATTTTTTTTTAAAATACTAACAAACCATTAAAGAATACTAAGAAACTGATTGATAAAAAAAAAAATTATAGTAAAGAAAGATGAAATTAATATTTTTAAATAAGCATTTCTGCTTTCTCACTACCCAAAGTATGAAAGCTTCAGTAGTGAGAAAGCAAAAAAAAAAAAAAAAAAAAAAAATACAATTCTTCTCCAACCTTTGGTAGTGAAAGCAAAAGACTGTCTACATTAATGGTAGTAGAAATCAGACATAGAAAATAGAGAAACTATAAATAAAGAACCACATAGTTTACTACTATACCAACAATATATATATATATATATATATATATATATATATATATATTTTTTTTTTTTTTTTTTTTTTCTTGCTACTGCCTCAAATGAACGTTAGCACTAGTTATTATTCATAGTTGCACAATTATTCTGTAGATGACTTTCTGCTTCTCTTAATGTATAGTCAGTTTTTTTTTTTCTAATATAAATCCAAATAATTTAAAAGCTAACTGTTTTAATGAATTAGAGACTACCATCTTTTTAGGAGGGCTGGTCTTCCTTTTGCCGACATCCTTCTGAAAAAAAAAAAGGTTTGTTATCTTGTGTTAAGATAATATTAATTTGTATAAAACTAGAATTAATAAAATAAAATTACAATTTTCTTTTTTGGGGAAATGCTCCTCTTCCTGATAGTATCATTTTTCTGAAAATAATAATAAAATCATGTTACTGAGATTTTGTCTAGTTCATTTTTTAAAAACCAAAGTTATTAAAACTTCATTTAAATAGCTGAATCTCTGTTCACTAAAAATAATAAACAAGAAGAATAAGAAGTATTTTCCAAAAGTAGAAATGGTAAAATTATTGGACAAATGCTTCTCTTCTTAAAGATTAATCGTCTTGAAATAAAGAGAAAATGATAGTTCCTGAAGTTTTAATAATTGTATCTGTAAAAGCAGAGTCAAGAGAGAGAATCACTTTATTATCATAAAATAAAATAAAATGGTGCTGCCCAATTACATTGGGTTGCTAACAACACAGCATACCTATTAATCACTACAGACATTATTTAAAATTATTATACAATTATAGGATTAACAATATGTATGAGCATAGTATACAATATTTTATACGTATATATATATATATATTATTTTTTTTTTCCTTTTTTTTTTTTTTTTTTTTTTTATAATTTTTACTATTTCTTTCATTCATTTATTATCATTCTGTACCCTTTCTCTTCCTTCTCTCCCCCTATACATGTTCCCACTCACATTCTCTCCTCTCTCTTTCTAACCTAATACATAAAAAATTCATAAAGTACAGTGGACGTGTTCAATAAATAATAATATAAAAAATGCTGTAACACACGCATGCCTCCCCCTCGCGAGCAAACTCTCCCCCTATCCGCTCCCATGCACATGGTGGTGGATGATTCCCAGGGAGTCGAGGATTATACTCTCTGCCAACCTTGCCACGTCCTTTATGTCGACACCAAGGCCCTCCATGAAGCTCCTTGTTGAGTCTGGTATCGTTCCGCGAGCTCCGAACCAAAGGCCTCTCACGTGGAATTCTCTCGGCCCGAAACTCTCGCGGAACTTTTCACTAAGGAAAGGGATGCATTTCTCATATATCTGTTTTTTCTCCCTTTCCACTTTTTCTGCCTGATCGAGGTCGTTGGTCTCATATCTCACGGTCGGATCCAAAATCATCGCCGACTTTCCCGTCTTAGAGAATGCTACAATGTCGGCATATCGGGTGGATCCATCCGTATCTATACAATATACTTCCTCGAAACAGGCGTATTCTCTCTCTTCAAGGAGCCTCATCAGTTCATGCTTGACTCTGTGGTGACGGCGTGTTATAAGGAGGGAGTTGTTGGGGCATTTTCCAAGCACATGTGCTGGTGTTTCTGGCTCTCTGTCGCATTTGCGACAGAGGGACCCAACTTCTCTTACCTGTCCGCTGACACCTGGGACTCCACGCAGGGGAGCATAATTAATATTTAGTTTCAGGGCATTTGACCATTCAGACCCAGAAAGTACTTGCTTATCATACATGTATTTATTGGCTTTCGGGGTCTCTTTAAAATGGCGAACTCCAATGCCCTGCCACCTGCAATTGGTCCATTCCTCAAACGAATTTTCTCGAAGCGACTGCCGTAGAGCTCTCATATTCCGAATACCCCGATCAACCCCCAATCTCTCGGCACATTCATCAACCTCAGCCGAATAATCAAAGATCGACTGAAAAAGGGCATCGGGCACATTGGACAGTCGCTGAGCAATGGACCAATGTTGTAGAGGAGCCTCCCATTGGCAGCGGATTAATCCCAATCCTCGATACCTCCTGGGAGAGTACAACATCGCCGTGGAGGTGTTCGCAGGGAGTCCAACAATAGCCTTCACACTCCTGCGAATCATGGTGTCGATGCCGTCAAGTACGGCAGGACGCAGCTTTGTGAGGGGCGCAGTTTGGAGAGGGTAAGTAAGACCCGGGAACAGATATTGGTTGACAATGTTTAGCTTCTGCTCCGGCTTCAGCAAGGGAGAGGTTACCAGTTTATTCAGGTTTTCGTTCAATTTGGTCACCGAATCTTCGTTGAACTGTAGCTCTCCCGAGAATGTACATCCTAAATACTTGATTGTATCTCCATTCTGCATTGTTTGGATGTACTCTCCGTTCTCAAGGGAGAGCATCGCGGTTTCCAGCTCTCCTTTATTTAGAACGATGCCCACGCTTTTTTGAGGATTAATAGCCAAACCAATTCCCTCAAATGTCCTCTGAACGCTGCCGATCACTCTTTCTGCAGCCCCCTTGTCACGCGCTGACACGGCCTGGTCATCCGCGAAACCTGTGAGGACCACACAACCTTGGTCACTTTTTAACTTGTATCCAAATTTTTTGGAAAATTCTTCATCGCACAGGTCGCGATAGAGATGGTCAATGGCCAGGTTGAAGAGCGACGACGACAAGGGGCCGCCTTGGGGTACCCCGCGCAGCACTTTGATTTGGCTAGTTGCGTGAACACCGTTACTAATTTTGATTGTGTTCGTGCAGAGGAGAGCCGATATAACGTGTTGAAGATCCGGCGACACACCTCTTGCTTCCAAGGAGCTCACGATATGATTGTGGCCAACATTGTCAAAAGCACCGACAACGTCAAGGAATACCACCGCACAATCTTTTTTCATAATCTTTGCATCCTTCAATACAGCGTCGATAATCCTTGCGTTGACGTGCGTTCCCGGGAGGCCTTTTATAAAGCCTCTCTGATTCCTGTGGAAGGTGACCTGTTTTCTTAATTCGTGGTCCAGAACCTTCTCTATGATTCGGCGCACAATAGAATAAATGGTGATGGGTCTCCAGGAAGGGATTTTGTTTACATCACCTTTCCCCTTATATATTAGTATTGTGCGCCCTTGTCGAAGTGGTTCTGGGACATAGGCCACCTTCAACATTATCTCCGCAATTGTTCTAATAATATTTGCAACATCGAAATATTTAATCGTGCGGATCAGAACTCCATCAGGCCCCGGCGATGTGTCCATTGATGTTGATTTAATGGCTTTCTTGACGGTTTCTACATCAATGGACACTAAATTTGGCATCGGGGCACACTGCTCGTAATCCGCACGCCTGCAGAGATTTTCGCTCTCAAAGAGGTCTTTATAATATTTTTCGATATCGGCCATCTTTATAGGACACCTCTTAGGAGCATCGGCATTCATAACAGTTTGCACAACTTTTTTTCTTTTATTGTAATAATTATACTGTGCGACTTCGTATTGATACTGCTCCTGCCGACGACTCCTGTCTACCTTGTTCGCTCTTTGCGGATTTGAGACTTGTCCAGCACCCTTATCAGCCACTTTAGTTTTATTTTTTTTTCTCATCTTGTAAAATTTAACGGCTGGGTGCTGGGGACCTGGCAGTTCCGCATTGATATTCTTGAGAAAATTTAGGAACTGGCCTACGGCCTCATCAAAATCCGCAATATTCATTGTGTTTTCTTTTAAGAGATTCTTGAACACGGTAGACCATCCAATAATGTCCTCTTTTATTTTTGATACCTCACCCTCTCCATTTTTTGGACCTATAACATTTTTCACTATGCCCCTCAGTGTATTGGTGTTAGCCTCCCTGGGGTGCTTTTTTGCAATATGGGTTCCAAGACCTCTTTCACCCTTAAAAGAAAGCCCACATATGGGACAAACTTTATTATTAGGGCGTATAACTTCTTCCTCCTGCTCTCTGCTCGCCCCTGCGACATTCTGTGGAACATTTGGCAATGCTGGGAAGACATCATCTATCGAAACTGTCTTTCCCAATAGTACACCTTCTGTGTCTGGCCATTCGACTTTTACAATTTTCTTTTGGCCGCCTTCCGCGGCATCCACAGACATCACAGAGGCAACAACAGCCTCCTGAGCAGGTCCTTCTGTTCTCGGAACCCATACTTTCTGGCCAATTTCGATTTTTTTCATTATTTTTAGGTCCATTTAAAATACAATCTATTTATTCGAGGCCATGTATACCACACGCATGATTACAATAAATTATTTTAAGGAGAATTAATATATAAATAAAAATAAATAAATAAAAACTAAACGAGAGAGACATGCATATATGCCAACTTAAGTATCAGATAAATATGTTTAAAAAAAGTTAAAATGTAAAATGTATAAAGCTAAAAAACAATTGAGATCTATAAAATCAATTGCTTAAAAATAACTTAAAATATAAAATCAAGAGAATCCAAGTTATAATAAAAAAAAAGGTTAATTAATAAGTTAAAATCTATAGAATCTATTGCACAAAATCAAGTTAAAATATATCAAATAAATAATGGTAAAATAATCTAAAATTTAAAATTTAAAATCAATAGAAACCAAGTTATACTATAAAAAGTTAAATTCAATCTTAAAACTAAGCTAAAATATAAAATGAAGTTAAAATATACAAATCAATTGCTTAGAATTAAGTTAAAATATATCAAATAAGTAATGGTAAAAAGTTAAAATCTATAAAATCAATTTTTTTTAAAAACAAATTAAAATATTCAGTTAATATAATCTGAATAAAAAATAAAAGATTAATAAATACGTTAACAATTGAGAACAAGTTAAAATATACAATCAATAAAATCTTATTTAAATAATAATAAATTAATAAATGAGTTAATGAATAAAAAAAATTTAAAATATACTGTTAAAAAAATTAAATAAAATTAAAAACACATACCCACGTCCACTGAATAAATAATAAATAAAATTTAATAAATAAATCGATTGATAAAGCTGATATGTATATATATATAATTTTTTTCCTTGAATAAGAGAGCAGAGAGAGAATATAGAAAATCAACGAAACAATGGATAAGGTTAACAAAATGGGTTGGGCTCTTTCGGTGACAGCTGTTGGTATTGATAAGACGCCACTGACCTTGCTGGATGGAGGCGGCCGCTGTGAGGTGGTGGGGGCCGACAAGTCCTGTTCTGCACAGTGATAAGGACTCCGGTCCCACAGGCACGTTGAGTTTTTTTTACCTCCTAGTCCTGGCGAAGTTCTTTGCTTGATTTTTTCGAAATTCAAGCAGCAGGTCTCCAGTGTACGTCCTCGGTCACATGTAAATTTTTGGCTCGATTGGGCGAATAAAACCCTATTAAAAGGGAAACCGCCGTGGAGCCGATGTATCGTTGTCACCGGCTAGAGCCGAACTCAATTATCAAATTTAATTTATAAATAATTAAAACACATAACCTTGTTATTATACTATTTATTGCATTTCACGAGATAATTAATTTATTTGCACCTGTTTTAATCACCTGTAGATGACCTAATAACCAAAATCTATGAAAATAAAGTTTTTTTAAGTTGAGAAGTACTTTTTCGGACTTAAGAATTGTTAACAAAATATTATGATTCCATTTGTTATTTAATTTATAATCTGATAATGTTACTTATTTTCAAAACAGGAATTTATATTTTAAGAAGAGTTTATAATTTTTGAATAAATGAATTTCTTGTAATATAAAATATAAAGAGAAATATTTGTCTGTATGCTAAAATTATAACCAAATACAGATAAATGATTATTTTTCCCGAGTTCGAACCCCGGCTCATGGCAGAAAATTTATTTATCTGTTTCATTGGCCGTGGGGCGACCTTGGGTCAGGAGTCCCTCCTGGGACACACCCAGCCTATATAAAGTGGGTACTCTTAATTATATAATTAATTAAGGGGATAAACCTGGCTGGTTGAGCGTGATCTCGGTCAAATCACCTCCTTGCACAACCGTTGACCTAGAAACAGTGCTTTCTCCTAAATAGTACTGAACCCAGACCCTTCTTGGGTTGTAGTGGTACAGGTTTTTTTACCTCAGAATCAATACTACTATTGACTTCAAAGCACTAAGTTATGGTCCGCTCATGCTCAGCCAACACTTATTACAATTATTGTTTTTTTTCCCCCACTAAAATGACCACATTTAGTAGAGAACTTACCACGAACTTACAAATCATCATCGCACTGAACTTGACCTTCCTGACATCCATAAACTTCAATCAATAAATAAATATTAAATAGAATATTTATTTAAGTTATTTTTAAAAGATTCTGAAACCAAAGTTTCGGTTTTCAAGTATATTAGTCAGTAAACAAATGACAAAATAATAAGGAAATGAAATTATGCAATGTATAATTAATAGAATGGAATAAAAACAAAACCGGAGAATATGATTCGCTGACTCATAGTGAAATTCTGAATCTGATACCCCATTCATGGAATTTGAGCATGACATGACCTTATATTTGGTACAAAACTGATTTTGAGCCTTAGTGAAATAATATATACGAGTAGGCCCATGCGAAAATTTGTACAGCATATTGTTAAGTGATCAAATGCCAAATTAATAAGAAAATAAAATAATGCAACATATCATAAGATAAAGAAATCAATTGTTACTTTATCAATAAATATAATCGACAAAGGAAATAAAAATTAATTTAAAACTTCATTAATGTTTGAAACCAACATGTTTACAAATTTTAATAAGCTGTATCTTTGCTAAAAATTTTCCTATTTCGATAATTTTTTTTGTTTTCCTTTTGTAGAGAGTTTAGTAATCTTTTATATAATCATGGCCATAACCAAGGGAAAAGTGTGTAATTTTTTAGTTATTCACAAATAAAGTTTCTTTTCTTTCATGACTTGTTTGCCTGAATTTTCGGAGTGATTGGACTATTTTGCCTGCCTGAAAGAGAAGAAAGCCTCCAAAATTGGTGGCTTAATCATGGGATTTGATGAAGAATTAACAATGATATAGCTTGCCGATAAAAAACACCATCAATAAATAATATAAATTCCTCCTCCCTCATAGAGGACTCAAGACGACAAAATGAGGCATGTATTAAATGGCAATACTACAATTAACGTAAGGTTGTGTGGATGCGTACCCTATGCCTAGCGTTATCTCGAAAATAGTACATTTTTGGGCTTAAAACCGCAGGGCCCGTTAGTTCCGAAGGAACTATCCGGGTCTTGCTGTACGCATCAAAATCTTCAAAGCCCAATTTGTCCCGTAACGATCTACAGACTTACCACTGTTCTGGTATTGAAGCCAAGTAAAATGTTTGTATCAACTTAATTTATTTTAGAAAGAAAAACAAAAGTGGAGAATACGATTCGCTAACCCTCCATTAAATTCTGAATCCAACGGTATTTGAGCATGACAGGCGCTTATATTTGGTACAAAACCTATTTCGAGCCTTACTGTAATAATATATGTGGGGATATATAGACCATAAGCCTGTCTAAGCTTCATTTCATTCAAATATAGACTCTTACTGTTATTAAATACAAACCTTACACAATAATTTGCCAGTTGTGATGACCATACAATACAACAACTTACCGTTTTCTTCAGGGGAGATATTTTCTTTTGTGGAGATATTTTTTTCTGGGGAGATATTTTCTTCTGTGGAGATACTTTCTTCTTTAACTTATCTTCTTTCTGGGACATAAAAGTTTGATGAGAATAAATATTGTTTTAAATTTATAACAAATATTTATTCTACATTATTCAACCAATAAATCATAACTATCAATCAATAAATAAGACAGAAATATAAATAGTAACTAGAATATTTATGAAATATATCGAAATCAAAGTCTCTAAATTTGAAAGTAATTAGAAGCCTGTCATTGTTTCATTTATTCATGACTAGATTCTAGCCATTCAATCTAGTTATTACATACTAACCGTTCACAATAATATACCAGTTGTTGCAATCTATAAAAAACTGGTCATATAATACAATAAATACAGTCAAAGAACATACCATTTTTTTCTGGGGTGATATTTTCTTTTGTGGAGTTATTCTCTTTTTTAACTTTTCTTCTTTCTGAGGAAAAAAAAAAGTTCAATGAAAATTAAAAGTAACAATAAATTTAGTGTTAAGATATAAAACTAATCATTATTATAAATTGAGTATGTATGAATAGAAATAGAAATAGAAAAATCGACTTTATTCTGGGAATAAGTCTCTTCAGAAAAACAACAAAAACAAAAAATGATGATCAATTGTGGCCATAAGAACGATTATATAATAAGATATTGAAATAAATACCAATTTATTAACATAGTTATGAAAAATAAATAAATATATTAAAAACTAATGATATATGGTTACATATAATTCATCACTTAAATACTTACTATCAGATTCGTCTTCTTTTCCTTTTTTTTTTTTATGCAGAAACACAGAGATTATTACTAATTTTTATTTATTTATTTTTTTAAAGTGTATACTTATATTTTACTACTATACATAATCTTAAGTATCTTGGCATGGTTTCAAATGTTTTGTATATAGATTTTTTTTTTTATTTTGTACACAGTATGTTTAACTAATATTTTCTTTACTTTTTATGTTTGTTTTTACTTAGGCCAGATATAATACTTTAATTTTGTACTTTTTTGTTATTCTAAAGGGACTTCGTCACAGAATAAAATTATTTTCTATTCTATTCTATTCTATATTAGGTGAAATAAGATAATCATTACTTATATATAATAATACAGAAAGAATAGTTCAATTAATCACCTAAGCATATAATCTTAACTAACAAAGAAAATAAGTAAATAAATTGCTACTTCTTTTTTATACTCACATAAACATGCATGCACTATATTTATACAAACTTTCAATCACCAAGTAATATACAAGTATTATAATATGATAAATAAATGAATAGTTACAATAATGTTTTAAAAATTATTTTTGAAAAACTTTGAAACCAGTCTCTAAATTAAATAATAACCATGTCTGTCAATGTTCCATTTCATTCAGGACTGGATTCTTCTGTCAAATTAAAACTCCGATTAAACCTAATTATATAGTACAATAAATAAATACAATTAAACAACTAACCATTTTCTTTTGTGGTGATATTTTCTTTTGAGGAGATATTCTTTTCTTTGACTTCTCTTCCTTCTAAGGAGAAAAAAAAATTTTGATACACTGATATTCTTTTTAAAAAAATGAAATAAAATATTTATTACTACTTCATTTATTTTACACTGAAACTAAGCCACAAACTACTAAAATTTAAATTTAAAGATTACTTTATACACATGATATATCAATGAATCTGTAATTATCACGGTGTAAGAAGTTTTTTTTTTATCTCTGAAACTGCTTTATAAACTAAAAGAACTGTGACTTTTAATCTTTCTCTCAATCAATTGAATAATACAATCTTTCTTGTTTGCTACCTATTTTTTTTTGCAAAACATTGTCTTTGATATTTTGATTCTGCTTGAGAATGCGATATCTAAGTGATGAGACAATTTTGGAAAGGACATAAGTACACTTTACTTTTAACAAATATCAAGAAAAATATTCAGAATACTTAAACTTATACCTTCATGAGTATAAATAAATTTCACTTCCGTTCAATGTATGTTATTTTAGAATGCTCATTTTTTTTTTTGGATACTTCACTTTTAATCACACCAAACCAACTTCCAATTGATCAACAGGCAAAAATATTTAGACCATTATAAAAAAAAAGAACAAAAACAGAATTTAATAAAAAACTGAGAAAGGAACACTGTAAGGTTTTGACATTTCAGTCTTTATTAATTAATAATATTAATAAAGAACAAATGATACTTCACTCTATAGTATTGGGGGGAAAATCCTTTCAAACATAACTAATTCAATAACAATTATAGTGGAATAAAAATTGCCTATAAAATGATAATCATCCATACGATTTAAAGAAAACTTTTTTTTTTATTTAATAGATCTAAAAATCATCATTGTTACTGTAATAAAATGCACATTATTACCTTTTTTTTATCTTCAAGTTCAATCCACAGCTTTAGTGCCTGCCTCCAGTGTCTTGGAAAAGGATCGTTCTCAAAATACTGATTTTTCACCTCAACAGGAATTACTGAAATATAACAAAATATGAATCATAATGATCTAGTTGGAAAAGTACTAACAACAGTAACTACAAGTACTAATTGTAATAAAAGTTGTATGCAGTTATTAATGTTGAATAGATTAAGGCTATGTAATAATGACAAAAAACAAAAAATTACATTTTTTTTTTTTTTTTTTACAATTATGATTATTAAGAGATTTGAATTATGATGTCTTTTGTGTCTTCTACAGGAGGTAATGTAAGGATGACACCAATTGTCTAACAAACAACAATATCAATATGTATTTCTAAACAAATATTAATATTTTGGCAACATCACTAGAAAAGAGAAGAAGAGTGTTTACAGCAAAGTGAAGTAAGGAATAACATAAACTAGCAAGTTTTATCTTTGTAATAAATTTAATGGAAGCAATTAAATATTGTTTATTACCAAAAAGTATCAATTTATCAATAAACGGTAACGTTATGACCATAGCAAGAGCTGAGGGGGGGAGGGTATGAGAGATTTAAGAATGACTTGCAATGGAGAAGAGCTGGAGAACATCGACTACTACATCTACCTTGGAACAATTTTTAATGAATCTGAGAAAATAGATCAAGAAGTTTCCAACAGAATAAAGAAAGCAAACAGTATATATTACCAGATTTGCAACAGAATTGTAGAAAAGAGAGAGGTAGGAAGAAAAAGCAAACTCTATATCTATAAAGTAATCTATCTCCCTACATTATTATATGGCAGCTGGGCCACCCAAGACAACACTTAAGCAGGATTACGGCTGCTGAAATGAAATTTCAATGAAGAATATTGGGAAAAATCAGGAGAGATAAGAGCAAGGAATGAGAGAATGAGAGAGGAACTCTTGATATCCTCACTGAAAGATATGGAATGAGCATATCTGGAACATATCCAGCGACTATGTCAGGAAAGAGGCAAAACCCTAGGTCAGATGAAGGAATTGGCAAGAAACCAGGATGTATGGTCGAAGTGGCTGGAGGCTCATCCACGCTGAAAGGCACACAAGAAGGAAGAAGAAGAGAAGACTTTAAAATTTCATACTTGTAAATAATATTTTGTTTTTAATTTATAAAGCATTCCAGATGTTTTCTTTTAATTATATATACAGGGTGTTTATCTATTTTGTATGTTTGTTTGGGTTTCAAGGAGTAAAATTCTAGTCGTCATAACCTGTGTTCTCTAGAGTTAAGGAACTCCTTAGGAAAAATAAAATTAAATAAAAAAGAGAAAATGTCAATAAAGTCATACATTTTTTTAGAGAAAAGTGACAATAAACTTGGTGTATAAAAAAACCGAGCAAACAAACATTGTCTTCCCTAAAATACTTAATATAACCAAAGCTTCCAAGTATTATGATGACAGGTTGAACTTTACTAATAATAATTCATGTTAGTTTACTTACTATCCTCATAATGGAGATACTAAACTAAAATTTTACCTTTATTTTTATCTAACAGATTTCCATGCAGCACAAATTCACCATCTAAAGTTTTTACTGTATCTCTTTGCTTTCTTGCAATAACCTTTTCAGAAACAAAATTTTTCACCAGAATTTCTCCTTTCCTGGAAAATCATTATAACAATTAATTTAATAAACAATTAAATTATGAAAATATTATGTTATAGTGGAAGAAAGAAATTATCACTAAAAAGACAAGACTTATCAGATGAGTGGTCACATTGATGGTAGCTGGTGTTTTTAACAGAAGCTTCTTTTATATTCAGAAGTGCAGATGTTTTATAAACTTTGCTTTAGACCTTCACAGGTGTTTGATTCTTGCCAGTTAACAACAGTGATAGGGTGACTACCAGATGGTTAAAGTAAAATTCCCTGACCTTATCCTATTTAATGATAGCTCTCCCTGATCAAGATGTTTGGGGACATATATTTATTTATTATACAAGAAAGAAAATTGACTACAAAATTATTTGAGTAAAAAAAAAAATCAGTCTTTTAAATAAAAAATATAATGTTTTAGAGGAAGCATTTTTTAAGCTTGATTGGACTTTTTCATTTTAAAAAACTAAACTTTTAGTAATTTATTTTTATCGCTTTTGTTTCATTTTCATAAAATGAGAGAAGCTTAAAGTTTATACTTGACTTATAAAGCTTTGATTTTCTCTATTACAAAATAAAAAATAAAAGTGAACTACGGGGGAATTCTAATATTAATGTAGTTTCTCATAAGTACTTTAGTTCCTTTATTACTATAAACAGCATAATAATTATCCACATGATACCAACTGTACAATATCTGGTTAATAAATGATCTTTTAAGGAGCACTACCAGCCAGATCTTGACCCAGATGTATATATTACAATAAGTAAACAGTATTAGTATGTTTCCTTTTCAAAAAAGCACTGTTTAAAGTCCAATTTACTTAAATTTTATACATTTCCCTTGTTTGATTTCAATATAATGATCTGTGCTATACAGTCAAAGGTGGATGAATATAGCGACCGTGGTAGTTTATAACGACAAAGTTTATCCATTAAAGGCCATTTTATAAACGACATCCACTGTATATTTATTTGCAATTTAAAAAAAAAAATACTTAGGAACTAAAAAAATTCCCTGACTTTAACAATTTTCCTGTGACTTCTCCCTGTTTTGAAAATTTTCCAATTTTTCCAGGTTCTTCAGGTCAGTCGCCACCCTGAGTGATCTGCTTAGCTAGGTTGAAACATCGGCACAAATTATAGTAGATTATTGTTTGTTTCATTTCTGATTACACCCAAAACCATCATTTCCTTAATTCCATCAACAGTCAACTATACCTCCATTACTATTAGCTTTCTTTATAATTCTAAGTTTTGAAAATAATAAAATAAATTTTAAGTAGCACTTACTCGCTCATTTTAATCCCTGTCAGTACAATTTCATTGTCTTTCAATTGGACAGACCAAGATTTTAAAAAGAAAAAGGAGTTTTCCTCATTAACTTGTTCCTCTGAACAACTCTCTGCACCTGATTCATTTATCGATTCATCTATCTCAAACCTACTTTCTTCAACAATTGTTCCCAAAGATACACAATTTTCTGCATCTATAAAAATAAAATCAAACTTTAAAATAAGTTAGAATTTTATAATTAGTCTGATTATAAATTAAGATTAGAATTATAAAAAAAAATCTTCACTTATAAAAAAAAGACCACACGACAGAAGTGAAAATATCAACAAGGTGAGATTAATAATATGAAATATAAATTATAAGTAATAGCAGCACAAAATAAAAAAAATTCAAAAGTTCCTGGTTTTTTGAAAAATTTCTATACAATTCCAGTTTTTTCCCCGGTTAAAAAATTCCCGGTTGAGAAATTCCCGCACAATTCCCAGTTTTCCCGGTCACTGGACAACCTGTATGAGTGAACATAGACTTACTGATGCTCGATCCTGGGCACCAGACAGGCTGGACTCTTTTCAAGTGATCCAAAGAAGAAATCTGAGACTAGCTGTTTATATGGATACCTATTATTTAGGTTTGCAATAATGTCGCCTATTGAGGCTGTCTGACCCACCAGAATCGTGATTGGACTAGGAGTGGAGATGATCAATTGCAACAGTATTGTCCACTTCCCGGATCGTCAAAATAACTATTTACAATGGATCAGGGGCAGTTCTTGGATATAAAGACAATCCAGATCACCTGACATCTTCAGACAGCCGAGCAAATTGATCGCCTAGCAGGGGTAATGTACATAGGGAATGAGAACTTCAAATTCAAATCTATTTGTGGCCAGCAGCTCAACTAGCAATGGTGCTGAAGATGTGTCTATGAGTCAATGAGTTTCACACAAAAACTATCTGTTAAAAAATTCATATTGTGGTCTCTGGTTGGGGGTGTGAGATGTAATTGTCATCAAAATTTTGAGGAGTCATCTGCTTCCAAGAACTTGTTTATTATTTAATAATAAAATTCTCATAGAGGCCTGATCAGATCATGGAACCTTCAGCCAGCACCAAATCATGCTGAATATTAAAACTCTTCAGACAAGAGAAATTATATTATTAACTGTTGTAATGGTCTTCATTTTGGATTTTTGGATATCCTATAACTGACTATTCTATGTATTGAGAGTGCTTTTGGACAAGATTGATTTTTCTAACACAAACATTGCTGACATCCATGAAATCTGCTGGATACGACAAGATCTCAAGGAGAAAAGAAAGCATATTTTATATAACTAATTGTCACAAAAATCATCATGATATTTCATCTATGAAAATCGAGAAATATTAATGTAACCTAAAATTAAATAGCTCCAAATAAAACATAAATTTTTAAAGCTGAAAACAATTACATTTATTTTACCTGATGTGGTCCTGACCATGGGTCTAAAACTGGAAGAAAAACTTGTACATAAGTCATCATTTTTAGAACTGAAAAATGATGCAATACCATTGTTTTGTTGATGATATTTAGTAGCTGATTCTCTGTTTTCTTAAAAAAAAAAAAAAATTAAACAATGAATTTGAAAGTATTGTGTTTATTATCATATTAAACAAAGTGGTAAAAAATGCTAAAATAAGTACATGAGAAAGTTTAAGAAAATGAGAATAGATGCCAAAAAGAAGAATTAAAATATCTGGTATGTCCATTCATATAACTCAAATATTAATGTACAAAATTCAAGATATTTTAACTTTGTTAATATTGGTCAGATTTATAAGTTTCTTTCCTGCTTTTTCAAGTGAATGTACTATACATATGAAATTTATAAGAGCTTTAAGTAGATTACTACAGGCAGGTTTCCTCAAAATAGTTAAGAGTGGTTGGCACTACAGTCTATGGAAATGGTATCACAAGGAGGGTAAGATGATTGGAACGGTCCCTCTGGGGTGCAGGAGCTGAGGGAGTTCTAAAGATTAAAGACAAAAATATAAAAAATATTATGTTCATAAAAATTGTGATGTTTCTATCCACATTTCACTTTCTGAGGAAAAAAATAAACCTACAGAATTAGAGCCACTCGAAAATACTAAAAACAAAGTGATAGAAGTTCAAAATCAACCCTCTCAATCCTCATGAAACTGAAGATCAACAACTTAGAGAACTTCTAAAGCCAGCTATCCACTATGTTCGCGAACCAATGGTGCTCCAGCATGTAACGAGTGGATACATTTCAGCACTACAGGCTTGTAACAGTTCAAGAATATGTAGCGCTCTGACGGCTCTGAGTTTCTGCCCAAACTCAAAGAGGAGCGGAGCAACTTCGTGAACAGCCTTCAGTTAACTTTAGTCACTTGTGTAACACTGTGCAGTCGAGTGGGCACTGCGAGACAGAAAAATGTCTTCTGCCTTTATTATACTTATGTTCTCTTTTAATGCAGATATAATATCCTCAAACTTCAGAAACAAATTTACTGATTGCTTGCCTCAAAATTTCAAACAAATACTGCAAACCAGTAAAACTATCACCAGTGGCCAGAAATTGTAATGTGGAAGCGAGGTTATCCTGAGCCGATATAGCCTTTCGGAACTTAGTGTCTTTTCTTTCAATAAACGGCTGGTAGCACAATTTTAAATATTTTCGAAATTTGAGAAAGACACTAGCAAAACAATTTCTGTTACATCTGCTTGGTTCTTGAGATGCTAGGTCCAACACGAAATAAAATTTTGCTGTCAAAAAACGAGGTCTTCTATAATCTTCTACCAAATAATGGATGACCATGTAGGCTGCACTACCAGCATAGCTTGGATAACAAGTTGTTTCTTCTATGATAAACTGAACACCACTAGCGGATCAAGAAATTAATTTTGGAGGGGGAAAGGCTTCAGCCCGTAAGATTGTTTTTTCATATACATATAATGATAATTAATTAGAAAAAAAATAAATTAACTACCTATATGGAATGGTGTTTAAGTGGTTCTTGAAGCTCTATTAAATTTAATTAAACGAGCAAGAATACGTTAAGAGATAGTTTTTAATATTTTTTTCTGTAAAACATGATATTATATTTTATCATTTTGGGGGGAGAGGGGGAGGGGACTTCAGCCCGAAAGCTTCCCCCCGTAGATCCGCCTGTGCTGAACACTACAGAGCATTAATTGAGTAGCAGAGTTTGCAAACTTTGTTTCCATAAATGGATTTACAGGGGCACCGTTGGTTAGCGAACATTGTGGGTACCCGGTATAAGACTTTTGTATAACTTTTTGGAGTTTCTATGGAAAAATTTAGGTTATTAATTATCGTAACTAATAAATTGAAGGATTTAAAGAATCTTGAGAAGTTTATAACAAATTAATAAGATCATTATCCAAAAAAATTAAGTGAGATTACAAATCAAAATGATTTTGAACTAGATCGACTTTTCTAACATAAACATAACTTCTATTCAGGAAATTCGCTAGATATGACAAGATATAAAGAAATACATATCTCTACCAATATTTCCAATTACTTAAACACTTTAAATTAAAACATTTATCTCCAAAAAGCAAAAAATTCATCCGGTTAAAGACTGTCATAGAAATAGATTAAGCCAACAGGAAGTTACATAGACACAATTGAATCAGATTTGGCCACAACAAAGTTGTAATTCTCGATTGTATAAAGAAAGCCATGGCCACTGCCTAGGATTCATAACAAATCACTTATTGTCAGAGATTCATAAAATGCTCAAAGTAGGCATTTGGTGATTAATTGTACAGCAAAATCCATCAAGTGCCATTAATATAATAAGTAATTTGAATTTCACGAACAAATTGAAACAGATCATCCTTTATTCAACAAGCATTGGTCTTGTAACATATCATTTGATATGTTATTTATATGTTATTTGATGTTATTTATTCAAGAAGTATTGGCCTTCTTACATAAAAAAAGTAGAAATCTTTTAACCAAAGACAGTGATGATGAAGTTAAATACAAGTTTTATAATAAACTGGAGTGTTTTTATAATAAACTAAAGGAAAACAGAATGAAAAATATATCATACGATGATTGGTTAAGAAAATTATCATGAATATAGCAATGATAAAGGGATATGACCCATACACTATTCTAAAAAATTTAGAGGAAATGTTTTAAGTTAAGGTGAACATATATATATATATTTAAGGTGAAAATATATATATTTTCATTATGATTTATTTTTTAAGTATTTTTGATTAAGGTGAAATAGAATTAGAAATGAAGTTGTATCATAAAGAAAAATCAAGTATTCATACCTTCTAATCTATTGGAAAAGGAATGCGCATTGATTAAGTCATTTTTAGCACTAAAATATGATAAATTGCCATTATGAGGTTGTAGACATTCCCTTCTTCCAGAAATATTAGGTTCTAAAAATAAAAAAAATAAAAAATCTTTAATTTAGGTCTAGAAATGCTTGGTACAAAATAAAAAGATCCATTAGTTGTAATTGTATAGAAAACTTTCACAGGTTAGAAAACCAACTCAGTTTTCTTTCAGATGACTATTTGATCATCTATTTCATTTAACAAGTTCTTCCTTGTTCCTTGATAATAGTTCTTATTAATTAAATAAAATATCAATGTATTAATCTTATTTTTTTATCTCTTCATCATTCCATAAATTTATTTCATTGGCAATATTAATTCAAATTAATATAAAAAGTTTATTTGTTAGTTATGAAATCCAATTTTCAGTTTTGCTGTTGATGGTACTATTTTGAGTCAAGGTTATTCCATGAGGCTTGTTTTAGACAGCATCCCTAGCAACACTTTGTACAGTGGTAACTTGAACAGACATTCCACTTTTACAGACATAGCCTATTTTTATAGAATGTGTTTTGGTGTCTCTAGGACTTGCTTTGGGACACATAAATATTCCACTTTGAAAGAACAATGATATCACTGAAACAGCCTCCTTCATCTCTGCATGTTTTGGGCTATTGTATTTTTATTGCTTTTGTTTTTTTTATTCTATTATTTTATTGATACTGAATGGTGGAAAAGTTATTTCCATAAGATCACCCTCTTAATGATTAGAGACTGCTGCCACTTCCATTTTTTTATAGTATTCTCTCGGATTAACCGTTTCCATCTATTTGGTTCATGTGCACTCCTCAGCCAGAGAATTTCTAGAAGCCTTGGCAAGCCTTTTATCTGGTACTTAAACACAACAGTGTCTTCAAACAGGATAAGGTCAAGAGACACCCCTCCCACTATGATCTGCATTACATTGTCAGACAATGTAAAGTAGGACTTTGTTAACCTCAGCAGAACTGTACTCTGTATTGATGTCAACTTACTTTTGTGAGCCCGGAGGCTACAAGAGGACATCGACTGCATCAACAGATGGGCAGAAATAAATGAATTAAAGCTGAATGCAGATAAAACCAAGGCTATTATCATCGGGTCCAGACATCTCATCAGCTCCCTTCCTTACTTTCCTCTACTTAACCTCAATAACCATCCCATCCATTTTTTCCCTACAGTTAAAAACCTAGGAGTAACCTTTGACCAGAACCTCTCCTGGAATAATCATATCTCTCAGATTACCCGAAAATCCATAACTGCCCTTAAACAACTCCTAAGATTCCGTGATTGTATTCCTCTAAAAACCAGACAGCTCCTTGTAACCTCCCTTGTATTCCCCCACTTTGACTACGGCTGTTTGGTGTATGGAGGGCTATCTGCCAGGCTGGAAATGAGACTAAAGAGACTCATGAATTGTTTCATAAGATACATTTTCGGGATCCCATGGCGTTCACATGTTTCACTCTGGTACACCGAGTTAAAGTGGCTTTATCCTACTTCCCGACGACAATTCCTCCTTGGTGTTTTCCTTTTCCAAGTCTTCAGAACAAAAAACCCTCCCTACATCCTGGAACTCCTTACTCTGCACTCCTCTATCCACTCTCTCAATACTAGGTCTCAACCGATAGACTTATATATTCCCTCCCATAAAACTTCCTCCTTCAGCAAATCCTTCGTCATTCGTGCTGCTTCCTTATGGAACTCACTTCCTACCTCCATGTGTCAATCCTCGTCCACAAATTCCTTCAAACAACTCCTGTTCCAACACCTAATCCACATTCAAACTTCCTCTAACATGTAAATTACTTGCATCTATACATTGTTTAATTTCAATCCATTGCACAATTGAAATAACAATTAACAATAAATTAGTTGGTATTTTTATTATGTCAGACTAAGATACATAAATTTGTAACTCTGTTATTATTCTTAGGGGACAGTAGTCCCAGAATAAAATTATTTTTTCATTTCATTTACTTTTCTATTTTTGTTAAAGGTTTAAGCAATAGGTAAGGGAGGCATACCACACAGCACCCAGCACTACTGAGGCCGTTCAGTACCTGGGCCAACCTGCCAGCCAAGTGATATGTTGACATTTCTTCCAAATCTTACCCCAAGGTAAAGAATGATAGTCAATCCTGACAGTTTTCCCTCTCAATAGAATGGTCTGTGTTTTAATATAGACCATCTTCAGGCTTTTTCTCTAATACCATTTTCTGAGCAGGTTGGCACGAAGTTTGGCCTCTATCTTCGGTCTGGCTCTACCACTACTGCAACCTTTATCTACAAATCTGATTTTTGGCTTCCCGTGTGGTCATAATTGTTATTAATTATGACTTATGATTCTCCCCCCTCACCAATTTACTGCTTTCTTGTTTGACCATAAAGTTGTGAAATGTTATAGTCAAGTTGTGAGAATAATTTTGGAAAGATCAGAGATTTTTGTGCCAAATTTGGCAATTTATATTGTCTTGTTAGGCCAAGTTTATACATGCTTATTAAAAAGTTGCCTTAGCAGGGAACACTTTTGCACAAGCTTCAGCCCAGCTATGTCATCAATGGAGTCTCTACTATCTATTAATCTGATTTTTGACTTCCCACATGGTCTCAGTTATTAAACATAAATACTAATGATCTCTGTTACAGGTTAGAAAAGGCGGGCAAAATGTCACCCATGGGCACACCTGACATCATGCAAGCCAAATTGGGCTGCGACCACTGAGTTGGGGGTAATTTTAAAGTAATTCCTATGGAAATTAATTAAATAAAGACAAAATATTTTTAGCAGTAGCAAAGCCATTTACAAGGTCTGTATTATCCTCATATCAGTTGATAATAATCTTTTCTTGACAACACACCAACTACAAATTTATTTAAAACTTTAAGTTAAAAATATATTCTATCGATTCCACCCAAAGGTAGACATAACGCTAATAAATAAATCATAAATTTGTATCTCAATTCTTAATCAAAACAAGAAACGTAATAAAAGTTTCCTGTAATTAAATAATGATAAAAATCTTTATAACACAAATATAGTTTAATATACTGATATACATACGTGAAATGAAGTTATGGGTTTCTTTAATTTTTACTGTTGTACTAGAGGAGTCAAGTTCACTGAATTGTGGGAACCTATTCTAGAAAATAGAAAACAATCATAAGAATTTTTTTTTTATAGAGAAATACATATATATCTTACTCATCTTAATTTACTATAAGAAACAAAAAACTAAGAAAATATCCTCCAAAATTGACTACTTTCAATAAATTACAATGATTCAGGATCAGTAACTTTTCTTTTTTTTCTATTAGTTAAAAACCTTTAGATCTTTGGTCACCTGAACCAGACCAGCCTTCTCCATCTTTGTCTATCATGGGCTACTGCATTCCAGTTTTCTGCACCCAGCTATGCATATCTTTGTTGAATCAATCTGGTTTTTGGTTGTTACGGCCAACATTTTTTAATATTAATTAATATAGAAAATAATATATTAGGTTTCTATAATTTTTTTTCACTGAATTGTAATTAAAGATATGAGAAGGAATTAGTCGAGGGTGCGGTCAAAAAATAAAAAAAATTAAAATATATAAATAATTTTAATTTTTGCCGACGTTTCGACCCACTTTGCAGGTCGTCTTCAGGGCTACAAAAGATACAAACATGTTGAAAAAATAAAAATAAAATAAAAAATAAATATAAGTATATATAAATTACGAAGAAGTTGTCAGATACAGAAATAAAAGATAAAGAAAATAAATACATGATAAGAAAATAGATAAAAGAAAATAAATACATGAATGTTAACGAATAATGAATGTTAACGAATAAATTGATTGAAAATTGAATAACTATTGTTACAGTAAAGTTAAAATATGGATAAGATAACATAATAATAAGATATCAGTGGATAACAAGCAAGTGGAGGTTACCTTTAATTGTAAATAAACAGATAACGGGACCAAAGGTTAAGAAGTGAAGAAATTGAAAGATTAATAGGGTAACATTAGTGTAATATTGTTGGGATAGATTATTAAGTATAAATAACTCTATAAGAAAACAATAATTTTAAAAGAATACTTTAAAATGTAAGAATAAATGTAAAAACAAGGTTATGATGATAAAGAAACAAAAAACAGGTTGTACTATATATAGATGACAATTGACATTTAGTTTTTTGAAAGCGGTAATGGAATGGTAGGCTGTATGAAGATAATAATAAGGTGTATAGTTGAAGGATAGGTGTGTTAAGAAAGGAATCTCAATAAAAGTCAAAACATACCGTTGGATGTGGCACTGCGGGAGGCGGTTGAAACACTGGCAGTGTCAAAAACTCTAGTTAGCAGTGTCAAAAAAAAAGTTCTAGTAAAAAAAAACGCATACATACATACACATATATACACATACAAACACACACACACACACACACACATATATATATATATATATATATATATATATATATATATATATATAAAAGGAGAAGTAAAAGAAAGTATAAATGGAAGTGAGAAGATTAAATAGAGGTTTATGATCGAGACTTTTTTAAAATGTTGATGATTTGGGAGTAGGCGAGTGATAGATTTTGCTTGTCGGTTTTTAAGTTAAGTGGTTTGTAGTCTAATTGAATGAAAACACTTTCCGTAAGTAGTCTTTTGTCGTGGTTAGGTACTGTGGCAAGAATGGAGGTATTGTCAAAGTCAAATGTGTGGTTTGAGGTTAAGGCGTGTTCAGAGAGTTTAGAAGCAGTAGAGTTCTTAGAAGTAATTGAGTATTTGTGTTGTTTGATGCGGTCTTTAAGTTGGTTTTTGGTTTCTCCAATATAGGCGGAGTTACAATTGGTGGTAGAGCAAGGAATGCGGTATACGATATTAGAGCGGTGTTGCGGAGGGATGGGGTCTTTTAGGTTGGAGTAAATATTGGCAAGTTTGTTATAGTTTTTAAAAGCAACTCGCAGGTTGGGAATAGAGGAACGTAAAGATTTTTGAATTCTATCCGAAAGTAAAGGGATGTATGGTAGAGATCTATATAAAGGAATGGGGGGCTGATTTTGAGAACTAGAGAAAGGGATGGAGGATGAGGGGCGGGTTTTGTAGTCAGTAATAAGTTTTTTAATGGTGTTGGAGGGGAAGTTATTAGACAATAGTATCCGTTGTATGCGTCTAGTGTTTGTTTCATGTAGGTAAGGGTCAGATAGAGAAAAACATCGGTGAATGAGGTTTTTGGCAACGTTAAGTTTTTGGTGAAAGGGGTGTTGAGAATAGTAGTTGAGTAATCTGCCAGAGTATGTTGGTTTTGTGTACCAGTCTGTGGATAAAGTATTGTTGGGATGTCTTTTAATGAGAAGATCGAGGAAAGGGAGGGAATAGTTATCTTCGTATTCAACTGTAAAAGAGAGGCGGGGATGATATGAGTTAAAGGCGGAAAGGATGTCAGGAATAGTATCAGGATTGACGATGAGAAGAAGGTCATCGACGTATTTTTTTATAAGAAATATGTCATTAGGAAACTGTGGGGCTATGGTGTTTAGGAGATCATTAAGAACAATGTTAGATAAGTCGGGTGCGAGAGGATTACCCATAGCTAATCCTGCAATTTGATTATAAAATTGTCCATGGAACTGGAGATAACCAGATTTGCAACAAAGTTGTAGGGATTCAATAAATGATGAACGGTTAAGGGAGGTATGAGACTCTAAGGATGACCAGTTATTTTCTACTATAAGAAGGGCTTTATCTATAGGGATGTTGGTGAAGAGGCTTTTAACGTCGAAAGAGACTAGAATGTAATTATCGGGAATGGTTAGGGATAATAACAAATTACGTAGATGAAAGGAGTTGTGGATATCATATGGATTGTCATGACTAAGGATTTGTAAGGATGGGAGTAGAAATTTGCTGAGTTTTAAAGAGGGAGAGTTGATATTAGAAGTGATAGGACGGAGGGGAGTGCCGGGTTTGTGAATTTTTGGAAGACCATAGAAACGGGGAGCCACGGAGTTATAAGAGATGAGGTTTCTGTAAGTAGGATATGTGATTTGTTTAGAGTGTAAGAGGTTTCTGATATGTTGGTTAAATTGGATTTTAAGAGAAGGAGTGGGGTCACGAGTTGTAGGAGCGTATGTAGATATGTCTGATAGGAGTTCAGTCATTTTTCTATTATAGTCTGTGAGGTCCATGATAACTGTTTTATTTCCTTTGTCCGCTTTAGTGATGATGATGTCGTCATGATTTTTAAGGAAGGAGCGTGTGGAAGAAAGATCTTTGAAGAATTGAGGGGAAAAGTTAGAAGTAGTGGATGGGGGGTGTTGGAGATGGTTAGAGATAATGTTAGTTATGGAAACACGAGATAATTCTTTATTATCATTAGAATGGTGAAAGATCGGATCGTTATAAATATATTCCAAGTCAGTAATAAGTTCAGGGATGAGTTTGGTAGAGGAATTAGGGGTGGAAAAATTCGGACCTAAGCTTAAAATGTTGAGGACGTTGGAAGGAATATCTATGGATGAGGAGTTGTGGACCCAATTATCGTCTCCTTTTGGGTATATCTTATGGACTAACGATTGCTGAAAAATGTCATTAAATTTAGTGGTGAGAATACTTTTTTTCTTTGATCTGGTAGTAATAAAGATAGTGGAGATAATTTGTGATAGGTTAGTCATGTGTTCGTCAGTCATGATGGTTTGTAATAATTGAGTGATGGCGGAAATTTGTTGGTTGAGGTGATGGATATGTTGTATGATTTCACGGATTTTCAAATTAAGGAGCGATTTTTTGAATTTTAAAGAACAGTTAGATAATTTGGAATTGAGTGGTTTGGAGATAGTAATGTGATTGAGGGAATTAGTGATTGATTTAGGAAAAAGAGAGTTGGAGCGGCATTTCAGTAAAAAAATGCGCTGTTCTAACGTGTCGGCAAGGCGTTTATGGAGCGAGCATAGGTTATTAATGTGGTATTTGTGACTAGAATAAATGGTTTTGAAAAATGAGAAGGATAAATTAGCTTGACTGGGAGCGGAACTTATTAGAGAGGAGGAGTTTAAAACTGAAGAGGTCAATGTGTCATCTTGTGACGAATTGTTAAATGAAGATGGAGAAGAGTGTGAAGAGAAGTTATTAGATAACGGTGCTGCGTGATGAAAAGTTCTGGAAGGTTATACAAATCGGGTACTGCGACGAGTGGGAAGAACAGAGAGGTTCTGATGTGCGGATGACTGTTGTTGTAGATTGTTGGATCTGGTATTAAGTCTGGAACTGCGACGTATGGACTGAGTGTTTGTATCCTGATGATGACCCCGTGGTAATGTATTCATAATGATGTAGAGTTGGTTGACCGTTGATATGATATGAGAAGGAATTAGTCGAGGGTGCGGTCAAAAAATAAAAAAAATTAAAATATATAAATAATTTTAATTTTTGCCGACGTTTCGACCCACTTTGCAGGTCGTCTTCAGGGCTACAAAAGATACAAACATGTTGAAAAAATAAAAATAAAATAAAAAATAAATATAAGTATATATAAATTACGAAGAAGTTGTCAGATACAGAAATAAAAGATAAAGAAAATAAATACATGATAAGAAAATAGATAAAAGAAAATAAATACATGAATGTTAACGAATAAATTGATTGAAAATGGAATAACTATTGTTACAGTAAAGTTAAAATATGGATAAGATAACATAATAATAAGATATCAGTGGATAACAAGCAAGTGGAGGTTACCTTTAATTGTAAATAAACAGATAACGGGACCAAAGGTTAAGAAGTGAAGAAATTGAAAGATTAATAGGGTAACATTAGTGTAATATTGTTGGGATAGATTATTAAGTATAAATAACTCTATAAGAAAACAATAATTTTAAAAGAATACTTTAAAATGTAAGAATAAATGTAAAAACAAGGTTATGATGATAAAGAAACAAAAAACAGGTTGTACTATATATAGATGACAATTGACATTTAGTTTTTTGAAAGCGGTAATGGAATGGTAGGCTGTATGAAGATAATAATAAGGTGTATAGTTGAAGGATAGGTGTGTTAAGAAGGGAATCTCAATAAAAGTCAAAACATACCGTTGGATGTGGCACTGTGGGAGGCGGTTGAAACACTGGCAGTGTCAAAAACTCTAGTTAGCAGTGTCAAAAAAAAATGTTCTAGTAAAAATAAACGCATACATACATACACATATATACACATACAAACACACACACACACACACACACACATATATATATATATATATATATATATATATATACATATATATATATAAAAGGAGAAGTAAAAGAAAGTATAAATGGAAGTGAGAAGATTAAATAGAGGTTTATGATCGAGACTTTTTTAAAATGTTGATGATTTGGGAGTAGGCGAGTGATAGATTTTGCTTGTCGGTTTTTAAGTTAAGTGGTTTGTAGTCTAATTGAATGAAAACACTTTCCGTAAGTAGTCTTTTGTCGTGGTTAGGTACTGTGGCAAGAATGGAGGTATTGTCAAAGTCAAATGTGTGGTTTGAGGTTAAGGCGTGTTCAGAGAGTTTAGAAGCAGTAGAGTTCTTAGAAGTAATTGAGTATTTGTGTTGTTTGATGCGGTCTTTAAGTTGGTTTTTGGTTTCTCCAATATAGGCGGAGTTACAATTGGTGGTAGAGCAAGGAATGCGGTATACGATATTAGAGCGGTGTTGCGGAGGGATGGGGTCTTTTAGGTTGGAGTAAATATTGGCAAGTTTGTTATAGTTTTTAAAAGCAACTCGCAGGTTGGGAATAGAGGAACGTAAAGATTTTTGAATTCTATCCGAAAGTAAAGGGATGTATGGTAGAGATCTATATAAAGGAATGGGGGGCTGATTTTGAGAACTAGAGAAAGAGATGGAGGATGAGGGGCGGGTTTTGTAGTCAGTAATAAGTTTTTTAATGGTGTTGGAGGGGAAGTTATTAGACAATAGTATCTGTTGTATGCGTCTAGTGTTTGTTTCATGTAGGTAAGGGTCAGATAGAGAAAAACATCGGTGAATGAGGTTTTTGGCAACGTTAAGTTTTTGGTGAAAGGGGTGTTGAGAATAGTAGTTGAGTAATCTGCCAGAGTATGTTGGTTTTGTGTACCAGTCTGTGGATAAAGTATTGTTGGGATGTCTTTTAATGAGAAGATCGAGGAAAGGGAGGAAAAAACTTAACGTTGCCAAAAACCTCATTCACCGATGTTTTTCTCTATCTGACCCTTACCTACATGAAACAAACACTAGACGCATACAACAGATACTATTGTCTAATAACTTCCCCTCCAACACCATTAAAAAACTTATTACTGACTACAAAACCCGCCCCTCATCCTCCATCTCTTTCTCTAGTTCTCAAAATCAGCCCCCCATTCCTTTATATAGATCTCTACCATACATCCCTTTACTTTCGGATAGAATTCAAAAATCTTTACGTTCCTCTATTCCCAACCTGCGAGTTGCTTTTAAAAACTATAACAAACTTGCCAATATTTACTCCAACCTAAAAGACCCCATCCCTCCGCAACACCGCTCTAATATCGTATACCGCATTCCTTGCTCTACCACCAATTGTAACTCCGCCTATATTGGAGAAACCAAAAACCAACTTAAAGACCGCATCAAACAACACAAATACTCAATTACTTCTAAGAACTCTACTGCTTCTAAACTCTCTGAACACGCCTTAACCTCAAACCACACATTTGACTTTGACAATACCTCCATTCTTGCCACAGTACCTAACCACGACAAAAGACTACTTACGGAAAGTGTTTTCATTCAATTAGACTACAAACCACTTAACTTAAAAACCGACAAGCAAAATCTATCACTCGCCTACTCCCAAATCATCAACATTTTAAAAAAGTCTCGATCATAAACCTCTATTTAATCTTCTCACTTCCATTTATACTTTCTTTTACTTCTCCTTTTATATATATATATGTATATATATATATATATATATATATATATATATATATATGTGTGTGTGTGTGTGTGTGTGTGTTTGTATGTGTATATATGTGTATGTATGTATGCGTTTATTTTTACTAGAACATTTTTTTTTTGACACTGCTAACTAGAGTTTTTGACACTGCCAGTGTTTCAACCGCCTCCCGCAGTGCCACATCCAACGGTATGTTTTGACTTTTATTGAAATTCCTTTCTTAACACACCTATCCTTCAACTATACACCTTATTATTATCTTCATACAGCCTACCATTCCATTACCGCTTTCAAAAAACTAAATGTCAATTGTCATCTATATATAGTACAACCTGTTTTTTGTTTCTTTATCATCATAACCTTGTTTTTACATTTATTCTTACATTTTAAAGTATTCTTTTAAAATTATTGTTTTCTTATAGAGTTATTTATACTTAATAATCTATCCCAACAATATTACACTAATGTTACCCTATTAATCTTTCAATTTCTTCACTTCTTAACCTTTGGTCCCGTTATCTGTTTATTTACAATTAAAGGTAACCTCCACTTGCTTGTTATCCACTGATATCTTATTATTATGTTATCTTATCCATATTTTAACTTTACTGTAACAATAGTTATTCAATTTTCTCAATTCTTACATTTTATTCGTTAACATTCATGTATTTATTTTCTTTTATCTATTTTCTTATCATGTATTTATTTTCTTTATCTTTTATTTCTGTATCTGACAACTTCTTCGTAATTTATATATACTTATATTTATTTTTTATTTTATTTTTATTTTTTCAACATGTTTGTATCTTTTGTAGCCCTGAAGACGACCTGCAAAGTGGGTCGAAACGTCGGCAAAAATTAAAATTATTTATATATTTTAATTTTTTTTATTTTTTGACCGCACCCTCGACTAATTCCTTCTCATATCATATCAACGGTCAACCAACTCTACATCGTAATTAAAGATGATCTTTGGACAGAGACTATAATACGTATTAGTAGAAAAGGGCCTTTTCAGTTTCGAAAAATAATTACTTTATTTCAAATTTATCCAAATTTTTGACTCATCAGGCATCTTCATCGATAATCTGATTTTACATGTAATTTAAGATTATCCCTGAAGATGCCTGAAAAGGCGAAAATTAGGATAAATTTGAAATAAAGTAATTATTTATTGAGACTGAAAAGGTCTTTTTCTACTAATAACTGAATTTTAAGAAATGTATATTACCTTTAGAAATAATAGTGGTTAAATAGTTGACTGTCGTAAATAATGGAGAGAAGAATAGTTGGGGTGATCAGTCAAATAAGAAAGCAAAAATAAATGATACTATTTATTTTGGCATTAGCCGACGTTTCGACCTGAATTTCAGGCCTTCATCAGGGCAAAGAAAAGAACCAGGTAACAAGATATGAGAAACATAAGTAGTGTAGGTAAAAAAATTAAAGTAAAATTCAGTTGTTAGAATAATGACAAGGTTATAGTCAGGGTGGGGGTGGAGAGAAGGCATCCCTTCTCTCCACCCCCACCCTGACTAACACCCTCATTGCGTAGATTTACATCTCCGTAATCAGGTGGGTCTCTCTCTTTATTTTTATTTTTCTTTCTTATTCTCTTTCTTATTTCAACCTTCTCAGTTTCCTTCCTCCTTCCTTTCATCCCTCTACTCTGTTTTAACTCTGTATTATATTATACGTTGTCTATACATCTTGATAGACTTTACAACATCTCAATTTTCTATCTAACTATTCTATTCACAATATCTTAATTTTACTATTTCCATTTCTTATATAACTTCATATTTTTCTGTTTTTACATTTTATTCTAAGATTCCCATTTTAATACTTATGTCAACTTTTTTTTTTGTCATTATGTTTACTTCATCATTCCACACTTTGTACCGCTTATTATCATTTATCTCTTTGTTCTTACTATTGTCATTATTCTAACAACTGAATTTTACTTTAATTTTTTTACCTACACTACTTATGTTTCTCATACCTTGTTATCTGGTTCTTTTCTTAGCCCTGATGATGGCCTGAACTTCAGGTCGAAACGTCGGCTAATGTCAAAATAAATAGTATCATTTATTTTGCCTTCTTATTTGACTGATCACCCCAACTATTCTTCTCTCCACTACTTTTAGAAATATTATTATTTTTATTAATGTATTCTATTTCCTTTATATTCAAAGGACTAATGTTGAGTTTAAGTTTAGGGGATACTTTTAGTTCAATAAAGTCTTTTAAGTTTGCTGAAACACTGAAGAAATTAAAACTAACATTTACTTGTTTTTTATATGGTCAAATTTTAAGTTTATAATTTTAGTTGAAAATTTGGTCCTTAACCCATTGCTGCGATCTCAGAAGAAAGGAAACTCGTTAAGATAACATTCAATTTACATTGTGTCATTTCTATTTAAACTTATTCATTTTCATATTGAAAATAATTTTAATTGTCCTTTCAATTCTATTTATTTATTTGAGTGCTTGCGAATACACAATATTTTTTGTTGGCACATTGATACATGAATAAATCAGGTTTTCCGACGCATGAGTTGGCTATCATACATTTGTTCATGAGAGAAGCAGGAATTCTCCAAATCTAGCCCACACACTTTCAGCGATTGTCCTTGTATTTTGTTGGTCATTGCAAAAACAAGTCACACCCGAAACAGTAAATGATTGAATTCAAATGGCATATATTTTGGGGTCATTAGAATACGTGGCAACAGTACATAATCCTTTTCACTGAAAGTCTTGTACTCTTGCAAAGTTGTGATGGATTGATGCAATTTCGTGGAGTACTGACCAGAAATCTTCAAAACTGCACTTACAAATAAAATTATATTTGCACAGGCTTTTACAGCATGGCTGTCAATAATCTCTTTTCAGAGTGCAATATTTTTAATAATAATTTTCACCCAATTTAGTGGAATGGTATTAAATATAAATTATACTGAGCTTAGATGGAAAATTTTGTATTTTTGTAATTAAATCTAAATATAACAAATGATATTATTTCAATTACCTCCTTCAATGCCTCTCTATTCTCTCTCTCTTTTAAAACCTTATCCACATCATTACGAATCCTCAGTAACTGGTATGAAGCTGCCTCCTAGAAAAGACAAATATATAAATGTGTAAAATAATATAGATGGTTCTATCAGCATTAAAATGTTTGCAGACATAAAAATAATATATATATGACTTAAATAAAGTTGTCAATGAATTTTTCAAAATAGTCCAAATTTCATGATGACTAGCACCAGTTACACAAAACTGTGTAAATATGAAACCAAAATTTTTGTTCAGAAAATAAATGTTTATTACATAAAATTGTTAAAAAATACTTTATTTATTGAGATATATTATATGAAATTATTCATTGCTAACTATACATTATTTACATCTTTGACGCTTAGGATTATCTAAATATATCTACATTCCGTCACTTGTCACAATTCGATTTAGAAATTACTTTATTTTGTAACTTTCATTTCAGAGGGGGTTTTCTAGCAGTCTTTTCTTCAATTTATATTAAACCTATTTCTCTATCTTCTGAATTTTTTCTATGGCTTTCATTAAATACTGTGAGACAGCTTTTTCTGTTACATTTAATTGATCCACAAATTGTAGAATTTGAGTTATCTTCATCCAACAATGCTTGTAATTAGCTGGCTTCCAATTTTTTCAAGATTCTTCCATTTTATTCATTTCTGACGTCAAAATTTCCAATCATAATTTTTTTAAAAATAATAACAGAAAACTAATGCTGCCTGTAAATCATAGTTTCCATGGCACGAAACTTCATATGTTCAATACTAATAAAATGATGCTGTTATAAGAAACTTGTATTGTTTTTAATTGAAAATCTTTGCCAGCAGTCAAAGAAACAAAATAGAGTCAATAATAAGGTTTAAAGGTAACCATATTAACAGCTAGGGACATTTATAGACCAATTGCGGTTTCACATTTACACAACCGGTATAACGAATAATTTTTGGCCGCTTTTTTTGAGCTGAAATAATATAGTGACTTTTTATATAGTGAAAATTACAAAAAATGATAGAAATTATTTATATGAGAAAAGCACAATAAAATTGCAAGGCTGCTCCACTGTGTTGAGTTGCTAAATCACTCAGCATACTAATTTGGTTTGACTTAAAATGGGGCACACCTATTCCTTGCCATTTGCATTAGCACCAATCCTCAAATGACTTTTCTCTCAGGTACTGCCTAACTTTCTTGGCAGTTAGTTCAATAGTATTTGCTTCGAAGACTAACATATCAGCATATATATATATATATATATATATATATTATATATGCTGATATGTTAGTCTTCGAAGCAAAGATATATATATATATATATATATATATATACTTGAGATATGAATTATAGTAGGATAATAGGTCATGAAATACACTTAGATGACTTAAAACAACTTGTATTTTAAAAGATAGGACTAGCCGGGACAAATTATCAAATGTAATTTATGAAATAAAATGCTCCGATTGTGGCGGGAAGTAAATCGGGCAAACATCGCAGTACTTATATAGAAGACTTTATGCTCACAAATACAGCGTAGACAATAAAAAAGAAGAGACGGCTTTAACCAGCCATGCTGTTAGAAAGGGGCACACATTTGATTTTGACAAGGTGAAAGTCCTAGATAACGAACATAATCAACAAAAAAGATTGATTCTCGAAATGATGTACATTGGAATGACCAAGAATACAATAAACACGCGTAATGATTTAGCCAAGTTAAACTACGCCTATAATAATATATTGGAATCAATATAGATTGGCAGGAGCGTTGAGTATGTTTATGTGTGGGTATGTGTATGTACATGAGTGTGTATATATATATGTATGTATATATATAAATTTTAGAGGTAGCAATAGAAATTGGACAGAAGTAGTAACCATATTAATTTGATTCATTACTGTAATTTTATATGTAAGGACTGGCTCTATATACTTTATTTTATTGTAATCAATTTTAAATTTTAGCATTTGACGTTAGTACGTCTTGGAGGGGAGCATTGACACACAATTGGACATAAAAATAATCCTAGGAATTTAGGAAGGGGAAAGAATCCCATCAGATTGGTACAAAAACATAATCTGCCCAATACACAAACAGGGCAATGTTCTTGAATGTGGGAATTACTGAGTGATTTCCCTTTTGTCATGCGCTTACATAATACTCTCAAGAATACTATTCCTTAGGCTCCTCCATTTTGCCGAGAGAGAAATAGGAAAGTATCAAGCAGGTTTTATGAGGGGTAAAGGAACAACTGATCAGATTTTCTATCTGAGAATGATGTTGGAGAAAGCCCATGAATATAATATTCAAACCAACCACCTCTTCATTGATTTCCAAGCTGCAAATGATAGCGTACTGAGAGAGGAACTGTTTAGGGTGATGTTGGAAATGTGTGTCCCTAGAGGACTGGTATGTTTGATTCGTCGAACAATGGAGTCCATCCAGTGCTTTGAGTGAGTTATCAGATGTTTTCACCACCAAGGCTGGCAGGATGGTGTGATATTGGATGCCCTCTCCATCCTGGGAACAAGAAACTGGAGAGCAGCGGCACAAAGAAGACAGGACTAGCAGAAATCATTACAGAAGGCCCTGATTCCTCTTGGGTTGTAGCGCCACTAAATAATAATAATAATAATAAAATAAATGCACCACTTACCTCACCGATATCATTTTTCAAGCTGTATATTAATGAACAAACTCTGTTAAAAGCTAGTTTTACAGCCAAGCTCATTTCTGGTGACTGTTCACCATATTCATCCAGTTGTCTAAGTTCCATATCTAACCTGCAATATTTTTTTAACAAAATTTCAAAAAGTTAGATAAATTTAGAAGTAAACTGTAACAATTAATTAAAAGTAGACTGCCCACCTAAGAGATAAATAGCAGTTAATATTCTTGCTTAAGGTGCAAATTATGAATTATCTCATAGTTCATTAGGTGTTATATAAACACAACTATGATGAAATATGAATATAGTGTGTTTTGATGATTACTACACATTAAAAATAGAGTTTTAAATTATATAATATAATTGAATTGTATTTTAATCCAGAATGCTAAAAAAGTACAGTGGGCAGTCAACATGTTAAGTTAGTACATTAATTTGCTAGTAATTTACATAACAATCAATACTATTATGAATAATAGTCAACTGTTCTACATATCATGGGTGATAAATATTCAGGACACAGTTATTATAAAAAAATTTTATTTTTGCCGACGTTTCAATCCAAACATGTGGGTCATCATCAGGGGGTGTACTTGAAAGCCTTCAGTGCTCCAACAAATTTTTCAACAGAAATTTCAACTACACAGTAGTTAGAAATTTGTTCCAGTTTACCAATTTGAGACATAAGGAACCTATTAGTTTGTGTCCAATACTAAAATGCCTGTTAGAAAAAGATTTGACCCTTAAAGGTTTTCCAGCAGTTTTAAATAATGATTTTTAAATGAATCGACTGATACTTGAGCTTCTGTTCATAACATAATTTTTTTTAATTACAAATTAACTCTTATTCATTAGGAAAAGCTTTTATTTAGTGCTTCATATTTTTATGAGGTGAGTTACAAATATTATGCTCTCTCTGTAAAACAATAACTCATGTTGAGGTCACCACATGTAGGTCAATTTAAATTCACCTAATGTTTCTTTTAAGTTTTGCTATCCCAAATATTCAAAAAGAAAGCACACAATACTAAGGTCAAAACATATCACTACTGCTAATATAGCTACTACTAATAATACTGTTACAGGCAGAAGTAAAACCGCTATCCCTTAGATCCTAACTTAAGTACAGACTTGCAAAGTTGGTCACAAGATCCAAATCCCTGAAAGGATTGATGAGAATGAGGTGCTGGTGATGCACTCTGACTTTCAAGTCAAGAACTATAGAGACACGTACTCTATTGTAAGGATGGACAGAACTAATTAATATAGACCACATAATGGAGTTAATTGTTACAAGGACAGATTGCTGCTATAACAAGGTAAAGGGGCTGGCATTTGTAGAATGAATAAACACAGGGATAGAATTTTCATATCATTAGGTAGTTATAACTCAGTATTTTAGGCTGAAGTACTAGCAATAAATAATCACCTGTGTCTCATTTCTAATGGAGGAGCAAGTCAACACAGAAAAATCTCAATATTTACAGATAGCCAAGCAGCTATTGGTACCTAAAGTGGTTATGAAATCCGGTCTAAATTGGTGGATGAATGTAAATGAAATTTAAATATTTTTCAAAACCAACAAGCTGAGGAATTTTAAGTAAAGAGAAGGCAGATAGCCTTGCTTGGAAAGGCTCAGAACACGCACCTTCAGCTCCAGATGCCTTGCCATCTCTGATCATCTGTGCTATGCCAAAAGACATATCAAGTCAGCTGCAGAAATATGACTAAGCCCTATTGGGAGAATACTTGGAAACAGATACATTCCAAGTTATTTCTAGAAGGATCCTGTCCAAAAAAAAAAAGAACAATACATCGACTCATATGTGATTATGATAAGTGAGAGAACTGTAAACGGGACACTGTTGACTGAATAAACACCTCTTCAATCTGGTGTTAACTGGTGTTTGTAGATTTTGCAGCATAGAGGATGAAACCGACTATTAAATTATATGCAATCTGATGTTCTGGCTATAAATCTATATTTTCATCTTGGGTTGTGACTACATTATTGATCCTAAGCTATGTGCTATATAACAGTATATATACACTGCCAGACAAAATTGAAGGATCACTTCAATATTTTAAGTTTACTGAATTTTAATGAAGTTTTTAAAGGATTATTTTTTAATATAATAAAATATTTTATTAAAAGAGCTAATAAATCAAGAAAGAAAAAAAGATATTTTTGGGGAATTTTTGTTTAAAAAAAGAAAAATATAGATTATTGAATAAAATCAGTAGGAAGCATTTCTCCCTCAAGTCCTCATCACTGCCACCAGCATTCTCCTGTTCATTCCACCGACCAAGTTCCTTACATCTTCTTCCGGGATGTTGTTCCAACCTTCCACTAAAATTCTTCTTAAATCAGCCAAATTGTGAGAATTTCCATTGCGGACACATCTATTAAGCATGCTTCATACTTACTCTATTGGGTTCATGTCCGCACCTCTCAGTAGCCAATTCATAATCTCAATCTCTTCTTATTATGAGGTAATTTTACACCAGCCGAGCAATATGAGGTAGGGATTTGTCATGCATTAAAATTGATTCACCCCTATATTTTTGGCAAAAAGTATCACATGGGTTCTCCCTGAAGAAACATTACCTGGAGTGAACCTCTCTCCCCGCCTCCTCGACAATCTTTAGTGTTCCTCTGGAGACCAGGCTGAATATGGACTCGTCGGTGAATAATACCTTATGCTAGTCTTCCCAAGCCTAGTTTAGTTATTCCTGGGCAAACCTTAAGAGCTGAACTTGGTGCTCCCTGAAAGCAGAGGCCCAGTTGCTGGAGGAGAATGGGACATCGATCCATACTTTATAAGTCCTCTTCTCACTGTTCGCTCTGAAATTTGTACTCTCCTACACAGCTGCAGGAGACAAAACAGGCTGTTTTCTATGGAATAACGATCTCAAGGAGTGTGAATTTGTAAAAATCTGTAGTCACAACAGTAAGTGTAGCTTGAAAGAACTTGCCCTCTTCTTCTGGCATGCCCTACAGTCTCATGATACCTAATAATCGCTATGAATATTAATATGAATATTGCATAGGATTGTGACCGCTGTAGCCTTTGCCAAAAACCTTCTCCCGTTAAAGTAAGGACACAGATCGATGACTCTTCGGTTAATTCCCTTCTGTTTGCCATCTAAATTTCCTAAATTACTTCACAACCATAAACTGTTACATAAAAAATGGTTCAAGCACGTTATGATCCATGTACACATTCAAAACTAATGTTAAACAGTAAGCAAGAGACTGCAAAATGTGCTTAAGTTATCTTTTTAATGCCCAACATGAGGTTTAAATAAGAGTTTACAGTGTACAATTGATAAAATTGATCAAGTCCAAGGATACAATTGATAAACGATTATGCTAACTTCAGTTTGGTAACAAAGAAATAATTATTGTTTTTATTATCAAAACATTATACCGAAATTTGTAGGTGACCCTTTAATATTGTCTGGCAGTGTATTTTGCGAGGCTATTAAACTGTTTAAACAGAGAAATGATGGTGCCCAAGTGTAGCCTTGGTGCAATTATGCCATAAATAAAAAAAAGTCAAAACAGTTGGGACAAGATAAACAGATAATGGTTCTTTACAAATAAAAGTTCTCAATAAAATAAAATCAAATGGCTAATTGGTAGGGCACCAAATAAATTGAACCAATCCAGCCAAGATGCCAGTTACAAAATAAATAAGTCTAGTTACGTATAAAAGGGATATTTTCTTATTGTGTTTGATACAAGGATGATTATAATAAACAAAAATATTGCAATAATTTTATCCTAAAGAAGCTTCTTAAAAGACAAACTTAGTAAATAATATGATTGATAAATGATGAAATTACATTTTAATAAACAACTCCAAGAGATGAAGTGCATAAAAAAAAATAAATGTTGGTTTAGATTTGATTTTGATGAAGATAAGTGTAAAATACTATAGTTTTAAACCTTGAAGAACTAATTTAAAATTAACATGAGTTTTGAATAAAAGTTAGAGCAAAACTGACAACATTTTTTAAGCCAGCATTTAAGTTGACACTGAATCAACTGACAGTGGATAATTCTAACTTTCCTGAGAATTTCGGATTCAATACAATGAGAAAACAAATAACTTGTATTAATATACAAACTGATATTTTATTTTCATGGGGAATCTAAAAATATTATGTTATACAGATTCTATTAATAGTTCATCTAATAATGATAACAAGTTTTTTAAATGTTATAGGATGACTGCAAAATAAGTCAACCAGTATGGGGAGTTTACTCGCAGACTTAATTAGAAATCTTATATAGTTCAAAATATTTCAGTGGCCTCTAAAACTTCAAATCAAAGAGATAGCTACAGAAAAAGATACATTTTTTTCTTTAAAAAAATAGTAAACTTACTTATTTACATACCTTGTTTATTTAAAACCTTCCTCTGTTAATCTAACCAACGCTTATTCTACTTTCTATCCAGATTAAGATGGAATTCACATCACGAACAATAATCCATCTAACATCATAATGTTTAGGTTCAAAGCTCTTATAGGTCAATTCTAAAGTTAAATAATATTAATCTCATAATCCTAAATCAAAACTGACAAGTACTACTCATTGATACTTTTCCCGGGGAAACTTTCAAAACAGAAACTACGCGCGTTAACCATAGAACTTAGACTGATGTATCGATAGTTAAACGAATACAAATATGAGTACAATATTGAAACAATCTGGACCGACCGACGTCAATATTTTTTTTTGGGAGAAAAAAGGTTTCTATTCGTTTTTGGCAGCATAAAAACCCGTAATTCTCAATTTTATAGCAATAAAAGAATGTTTACGTTAGAAGCTTTCGAATTTATTTTGAGAAACATTAAAATTGTGATAACTTCAAGACTAGTCCACTGATTCAATGGAAATTATAAAGAATTTAAGACTCTATAGACTAGACACCAGGGGTCTCCAAACCATGAAATACTGACATGTAAGGCGCTATTTACTATATTCAACATCATCAATAGTATCATTCATTTATAGTATTCAATATTGTCGACATATTGAACCGATGAGTGCAGAAACCACTTCAGTTAGTTACAAATTTTTCAGGAGAGAGAAAAAACGTCATAACTCCTCCAAATTTTCAAACATTTGAACTTTTTTTTTCCTCTGTCATAACATGCATTTATGTTGCTGTCATGCAAAAATTACCTAATTTCGATAAAAATTAGGTTCAGGAAAATTAAAAATTTGATTCGGACTTATGCTGTTTCTGCACTCAACTTTTTTTTACAGACAGCTGAAAACTTGTAAAAAGGTAACCAACCATCCATTATAAGTTCATATTTTTTAATTAACAATTTATATTAAATTTAATTTGATTATAAGTGTAAATACAAAGGCTCGGGATTTTATATTACAAACATTACCAGTGATAATTAACATAAAATAATACACCGTAACATAATTAACATAGCGTATTATAAAACAAAGAATATAATATTATTTACAAAAATAAAATTATACATATAGTAAATATATTTTTTAAATAAATAAGAGTATTTATTAAGAAGGTTGTGTGGAAATATTTCTATACACTTCTGTAAATTTAAGCATATTCATTTTGATAAACTTCAATACTGCCGTATTCACTTATGCTGTTGTGAATATAGCCGTATTCACTTTTACAATCGTGAATACGGCTGTATTTATATTTACAGTCGTGAATACGTATCATCTGTATTCATATTTCTTTTTATGAATATAAGTATAAGTACCATAAATATAAATGGTATTCATATTTTATATATATATATATGCCCATCTCTGCTAGTCATGCGATCCAGCAGTGGGTGCAGAAACCACATCAGTCACTTACTCATGTTATTTATGCGCTCAACGATCGAAAAATACGTCATGTATTTACGAAACTACGCAACAGATTAACGTGGTTCTTGCACTCAACACACATCTTGCCTTTCTAAGCTTCTTTTCATCAAAAAAGATTTTTCGCATATTTTTGACTGAAGTGGTTTCTGCACTCACCGATTCAATTAAAGGATAAAAACATGATGAAAGTTGTGAAACTGTGGTTACAAACATGCGATCGATACCCGACGGCACGTCGAAGAAAATGAAATAGTATAACGGTTGTCGCTATAATTTAAGTCTATAATTCGTAATTCATTTACAAAATATAGTAGTTCATTTTATGTATTTAAAAAAAATGTAATTATACATCAAAAAGACATTTTTATAATATAACATAAAACAATATATCTTTTTGAAGATAAAATTATGCCTTTTAGGGGTCTTTATTTACTTCACGTACAACAGTTATTTTTAAATAGAAAAAGTACCTGTTATAGAAAAGTATCAGTAATATTTGAATCAATGTTGTTAGTCTTCAATTATATAAACATCTATCTGTAAACAGATTATATTGAAACTTTCAGATGACCTTTTAAGGCAATCAAAAATAAAAGATTGATATAACCATTTAAAAAGTAAATATATTTATTAAACAGCATACCATTTTCAACAGGAACATCTCGTCAACAGGTTAGAGATAATTTTTCTTCAGTTGCAGAGTAAACGATGTACGATTGATCTTTAACATTTCAATACTCTCAACTCATCACAAATTGCCTAGTTCATTTTTACCCCACCCTGTAATCTGAAAAAGCATAGCTTGCAGTTGAGAAGAAAAAGCATGGATTACCAGTCAAGAAAGCACAAATAACTTTGATTTATTTAATTTTTCAAATTTCAATTTATACTATTTGTATAATAATTAGAATTAAATCTTTTTCAAGTAAATAATAGAACATCAGAGAAGAAATTTTACCTGTTAATTGTTTTTTTTTGTTTTTTTTTTACGGAATCTAATAATCTTTCAAATGATTATGGGTATAATAAACAAAAATATACCTGTATACTTTTTCAGTTATTCGCAAATAAAGTTATTTTCCTCCATAACATTTTTCCCTGAAATTTCGAAGAGATTTGACTATTCTTTCTCAACTGAAAGAGAAGATCTTCAAAATGAGGGATCAATCATTGGATTTGATCACTAGCGAATCCAGGATTTAATTTTGGGGGGGGGGTTCAGCCCGGCAGCTTTTTTTTCACAAAAATAACGATAATTACTTTGGAAAAACAGAAAGAAACTAACTACATATATGAAATGGTGTTTAAGTGATTCCTTAAGTCCTTTTAAATGTAATTACACGAACAATAATACTTTAAGAGGTATTTTTAAAAAAAATTTTCCATAAAACATGGTTATGTTTTACCATTTTAGGGGGGAGGGGAGGCTTCAGCCCGAAAGCCCCTTTCCCCCGTAGATCCGCCCGTGGATTTGATGAAAATTTGACGAAGATGTCGTCGGCACTATGATAAAGTAACGAATCTGAATTTGTCCAAATTAAGCTTTCTACTATGATTATTTGTTACTAAATCATGTACATATCTAACAAAGCTATAAATTCATAAAAAAAAAATGACATTACCGATTCCGGTGTTTCGGTCACCGTTCATATTCGACATTTTGCTGCAACGTGTACATAGTGCCGATGATATGGCGTAGCGATAAAAAAACACCTTTGGAAAATAATATCATCGTAACCATTTCACTTCTCATTAGAATTTATTTCCTTTCTATTCACTGAAACATTCATAACTTCTCATTTTATTTTTGTAGGAAATTTAGTAATCTATTTATATATATATATACGATATATATATATATCGTCCTTATTTACGCTTCCGGTACTTTAGTTCAAACTTCGTCAGATAACCGTTGGAGATGAGGCTACTATACATCCCTTCTCTCCACCCCCACCCTGACTAACACCCTCATTGCGTAGATTTACATCTCCGTAATCAGGTGGGTCTTCTCTTTATTTTTATTTTTCTTTCTTATTCTCTTTCTTATTTCAACCTTCTCAGTTTCCTTCCTCCTTCCTTTCATCCCTCTGCTCTGTTTTAACTCTGTATTATATTATACGTTGTCTATACATCTTGATAGACTTTACAACATCTCAATTTTCTATCTAACTATTCTATTCACAATATCTTAATTTTACTGTTTATTTCCATTTCTTATATAACTTCATATTTTTCTGTTTTTACATTTTATTATAAGATTCCCATTTTAATACTTATGTCACCTTTTTTTTTTTTCATTATGTTTACTTCATCATTCCACATTTTGTACCGCTTATTATCATTTATCTCTTTGTTCTTACTATTGTCATTATTCTAACAACTGAATTTTACTTTAATTTTTTTTACCTACACTACTTATGTTTCTCATACCTTGTTATCTGGTTCTTTTCTTAGCCCTGATGATGGCCTGAACTTCAGGTCGAAACGTCGGCTAATGTCAAAATAAATAGTATCATTTATTTTTGCCTTCTTATTTGACTGATCACCCCAACTATTCTTCTCTCCAATAATAATTATAATGAACATTGATACAAATGTAAATATCATTTATTCCTTTCCACTTAAAAATGACATTACGTACTATGACAAGAATTCAAGTTGGTTTATTTACTTTGCTCTCTGTATAATTGGTCGAAATATCGATTAAAGCTTCAGTTCGCGAGGACTGTATTCACTAGATTATGATGGCGCTGACAAACTGTGGCTTGAGAGCGTTCTGTTTCCTCAATCGTATTATTTTTCTTTTTCCTATCACGAATCTTACAGGAATCAACAGTAGGTATTTGGTTTATTCCTTTATAGGACTGTCATTACAAATGTCTATTCATTTATACCTCCATATCATGCATTTAATTCATATGAATTCTTACACAGAAGGAATATTGCGCACTTCGACTTGTCTAACTGAACAAATCATATTGGTAACTCACTATTTATCGTTCATCAACAATAAAATGGAGATTCGTTTTCTGCTGAAAAGAATTAAGAAGCTAATTCCAGTGGACATGAAGTTTCATTTGTTTAGAGCTAATTTCTACTTTGGCGTCTATTTTATCACAGGAATCGTCTCTGCCTGTCATAATCTCATTAGATCAAATTGGTTTGGAACGATCGTGACTTTAGTCAACTTTAAAATCTACATGATAATATTGCAATATGTGTATTGTTTGGATTTTATCTGCGAGATTTTTCGTCACTTTTTAGATGATTTATGTTCTGTTGAACCAGTCCTGTTGTTACAAATTGAATTACATCAGTATTTCATTGGATTGTGTCAAAAAACGAAAACATTTTTCTCAGTGATCTTAGTAATCGCTATACCCAAGCTGTTCTTCACAATAATTACGTCTTCTAAAGAAACATGTCTGTTCTTTTTTTCTTTGAATGAATCCTCGCTCTCTTTATTTAACTCAATTTTCTTGTTCCAGAATATTCTGTTAGTTTTTATATTGAGCGATGCATGCTCTAGCACGAAGAAACAGGTAAGTCTGTACCCAAGACATTTATTTTTTCCTTTTTTGTCCTTATTTATTTAAAAAAATGTCTGCCGACTAAGGCCAGTATAGCTTCCTCACCGTTTTCATTGGCTAAAAATATCTTTCTTAAAAGGTATAAAACTTTTCGTATGAGAATAAAATCTCAAAGAGAAGCCGTTTTGAGAAATTCAGAAATCCATCAATACTGGGTTTAATATTCACGAATTTTGTTCCTTAGCGAATATTAAAGTGCG